CCAGTAGGAGAAAGTTTGATCATGAATAGTATATTTAGTCTTAAACTATCCTCCCCACTTAATTATAAGGGGAGACATTAGTATCCTTGTAGATACCACCAAAATGAAGTGATATGGTTAACATTAATGGGACCAACAAACATCATGTACCTTTTGATGCAATGTACTAAAAAGAACTTAACATCACTTCTGTGATGTCCTTGAAGAATATATACCCTATCTAATTAACACATTAAACCAAAATTGAGGGACAATCTATAAATTACTAAAGTATTAAAAAATGCCAAGCTCATGAATGTTAAAAACAGAATGAGGGAACTCTTCTGGCATGAAGGAGATTAAAGAGATCTGACAACTAAATGAAATGTGTGATCTTGGAATCCAATCCTGGACCAAGAAAAAAAATCCTAATAAAGAATATTATTGGAACAATTGACAAAATTTCAGTAACTTCTGTAGATTGTGTACTAATGTACTGACACTAACTTCCTGTTTTGACAATTGTCCTTTGGTTATACAAGAGTTTTTTGTTTTTGTTTTTAGGAAATACATATCGAAGCATTTAGAGATAAAGGGGTATAATGTCTGTAATTTGGTTACAAGCAAGTCAAGATATATAAATAAATAGATAGGGAGGTAGAGCAGTGGGAGAGAATGGTAAGTAAATGGAGTAAAATATTAGTTAGGAAATTGAAAGGGAGAATTTTTATTAGTTTTACAACTTTCAGAAGTCAAATTATTTCAAAATGAAAAATTAAAGAAAATATATTTCTGTAGAGGAAAGACTTAAAATAGTAACATTGAAAGAAAGGTAAAATAAGAGATAAAAACAACTGGGGAGAGGCTGGTGTAATCAGACACAGGATCAAACATAAGCTAAACAAAAAATAATTGATGCCCCTAAATGGAACTGGAAACTATGATAACTGAACTATTCTATGACAACTCGAAGTTATGTGGAGGTAGATTTTAAGAAGGTAAAACTTCTGGCCAGCAGGGTTATCAACCATCTAATGTTTGAAGTAATAACTTGGAAGCAGTTCTATCATTGGAAGTATTTAGACAAGTGCTAATTAACCACATACAAAAAAGTCATGAGAGGCCCTGGCCAGGTACTCAGTGGGTTAGAGCATTGGCCCAATATATCATGGTTTTAGGTTTAATCTCTTGTCAGAGCACATACAAGAAGCAACCAATGAATAAATAAGTGGAATGACAAATCCATGTTTCTCTTTTTCTTGAATCAATAGATGAAAAAAAATTTTTTTAATGCCATGAAAGGTATTCCTCATTGATTGAAAGGTTGAATTGTGTTATCTAAAACCTTTTCTAACTCTTAGGATTCTTGGAGTTTTTAAGTGGAATAATATCTGTCTCAGTGGTATTAGTTATGAGGATAAAGCATATCCTTAGGAATTCAGAAGAAAACTTGTAGATTGAGGTTAAAAATGTTAAGTGGCAAGTGCTCTGTAAACACACTCATCACTTTGATTTCTTGAACATGTTCCAAGTTGTGCTTAGGTTATCACTTTGAACTTGGTATAATTTTTCTGTCATTCCTAAAGTCACTATTAAATAGTATTACATTACAGAGAATATTTAACTAGTGTTTTTCCTTTTAAAGTAATGCATCTCAAAATTTCATGGGCATAATAACAAACTGGGGACCTTTTTAAAATGCAGATTTGGACTCTAATTTTCATTCAGTAGTCAAAAGTGTAAAATTTCTAGAATAAAACACAGGTGAAAATCAGTGATTTTGGCAAAGATTCCTTAAATACTACACAAAATGCAGAAAGTATAAAAAACAACAAATGGGGCTTTATCAAAATTTAAAACTTGTTCTTCAAAAGACACTATTTGTGACAGCATGGATGGAACTGGAAAGCATTATGCTAAGTGAAATGAGCCAGGCGGTGAAAGACAAATACCATAGGATCTCACCTTTAACAGGAACCTAATCGACAAAGCAAGCAAGCAAAATATGAGTAAAGACACTGAAATTGAGAGCAGGCTGACAGTGACCAGAGGGGAGAGGGGAGGGAATTTCAGGAGAAAAGGGGAAGGGTTTGCAGGAATAATTATAAAGGACACATGGACAATAACAATGGGGGTTGGAAACAGGGGATGGAGGTGGGGAGGCCTGGGATGGTGGGGAGTGGGGGGAAAAGACAGAAAACTGCACTTGAACAACAATAAAAAAATGTTAAAAAAAATGAAAAGGTGAATCACAGACCAGGAGATATTATTTACAAAACGTTTATCAAAGTATTTATATCTAGAATGTATAAAGACTCCTGCCAATCAGTAATAAGAAACAATCCAGTACAAATATGGGCAAATATTTGAAGAGACATGTCCCCAAGAAGATATACGAGGGGGGACCCAAAAACTCCTAATTATTTTCAAGGGGCCTTGTAGTACAGGCTTCCCCCACTAGGTGAGCATTCTAGGAATCCATCTGCATTAGTGTACAAGTTGCCTTTGCTGTGAGAAGTGCCTTTAGGCTGCAGTAAATTTTTTTTTGAAGCCTTTTAATACGTTTGTCCATTTCATGATGGGTGATTTATGAGCACATCTGCCTACACCTTGCTGAGTGTTCAGCATTTTTTGACCAAGAATGTCATGTCCCTCATGACCTGCCCTCTCTGTTCACTGGAACTTGCCCTGAGCGCCCTTCCACCCCCGCTACCCCCTGGTGAAAAAATTCCTTAAAAGGGAAATGTTTTGCTGATGTGAAAGAGGTGAAACAAAAAATGGTAGCAGTACTAAAAGGCATCAAAAGCAACAAATTCAAAAACGGTTTTGAGCAGTGAAAAAAACATTTTGATAGGTGTATTGCATCCAATAGAGAGCACTTGAAGGTGACTGAAATTTAAACATGTAAAAATAAATATAATTTTTTATAAATAAATTCATTTTTTGGGGGTCCCTCATATGGCTGAGAAATAAGCACATGAAGATGTTTGATACCACTGGTCATTAGGGAAACGCAAATTAATATCAGTAAGATAGAACCATGCACACTTAGGATAGCTTAAATTAAAAAGACTGGTCATACCAAGAGTGAGCAAAATGTGGAACAACTGTAACTCTCATACACTGCAGAGAGAAACATGTTACCACCACTTCAGAATAATTGTTTTATGAAAGTTAAATATGCACCTAACCTATGTGAACTAGTCATTCTAATCCCAGGTATTTACCCAAGAGAAATAAAACTTATGGTGGGACTTCCTAACAATTTAGAGCTGTCTAAAATGCTTGTGTATCAATGTCCACAGATTTTATAATAGCCAAAAACTGCAAACAACTCAAATGTCAATCAAAAGTAAATTGATAATATATTCATATAATGGGATACTACTCAGCAGTAACAAGGATGAATTATTGATATACAGTGCAATGTGGGCCTCAAAAGTTATAAAGAAGCCATGCAAGTGTACATATTACATTTCATTTACATAAAATTCTAGAAAATGCAAACCAATCTGTAGTAACAGAATGGAGATCAAACACTTGCCTGGAAATGGTGTGGAGAGGTGTCAGATGGGGCAATATAAAGGATAGCCAAAGGCCATGAGGGAAATTTAGTGATGATAAATACATTAGATCAACTATGACTTTATGGGAGTGTGTGCATAAATACACCAAAACCTATTAAAAGTTTAAATATGCAGTTTATATCAACACACTATAAAAGTGTAGATCCTAACTCAGTAGATTTGGAGTGGGGGAGTGGGATCAAGAGTCTGCGTTACCAAGCTCCCAGGTGATGCTGATGGTTTCCACACCATTTTGAGTGGCAAACCTTTGAGTAGTCTTTTTTAAAAAGGATCTCCTTTTATTTTTTATTTATTGATTGATTTTTAGAGAGGTTGATTTATTGTTCTACTTATTTATGCATTCATTGACTGCTTCTTATATGTACCCTGACCAGGAATCAAACCTGCAACCTTGGTATATCAGGACAATGCTCTAACCAGTTGAGTTACCTGGCCAGGGCTGAGCAGTCTTTATTTTGTCATATATATGTCATTTGAATACACAATACATTGTACCATATTGAATAGTGCAGATATAATCCATCACTGGAGGAAGTTCTGTAGGACATCAGTGGTCAAAATTCTTGAATACATTGGTAATTATCCATCTTGCCCTATCTACTATGTATCTCCAACTATGACCAAACTGCACTTTCAGACTGAATGTCCTCCCTTCATGAAGCTTAGCTGGAATTCCAGTTAAGTTTGTATAGTGTATTTCATTTTTCATGCTATTTAGAGTTGCATCAGAATTGAAACAAAGTTTAAAGAATAGAGTTCAACTGAAGGCAGATGTTAAATTTAAGGAGCTTCCTAACAGTTTAGACATGCCTAAAAATCTCATAATGTAACACTTCCTCAGCATCCAGCACATTCATATTTCATGGGTCTGGTGGCTGTCCTCAGGATTACATATTGACTCAATAAATTCCAGTGTGGCTTTGACCACCAAGATTTGTGACCTGAGATAAACCAGAACTTCTCTAGGAATGAACTTTCATCTCTAAAATGAGGAGGTTGAACTAAGTTATATTTTGCCTTCTGATTCTCACATTCCATATTCTTCTGCTTATTTCAGAGTAAAGATGACAAAAACCCAGAAAGAATTTTAGCTTCTTGGCTCTGAATAAGGAGTGGGTTAAATACAGATGTAGAGTCATTAAGAACATTTTTTAGTTGAACAGTACCAACCCTGCACAGTTTATACCAGGGACTGGCTGTGTTTTTTGTTTTTTATAAAGGGCCGGAATAATACACATTTTTGACTTTGCAGGCCATATGGTCTCTGTTGCATATGCTAAACCTTGCCATTATAGTATGAAAGCAGTCATAAACAATACTTCAACGAATGGGTGTGACCAGATTTGGCCCACAGGCAGTTTGCTGACTCTTGGTTTAGATCAAAATACCTTTTTAATGATCTGAAAATAGGCAGAAAATCAAGGAAAAAAACACTTTATTGATAACATTTTATTAACTCCGGGTATATAATATAACTGGTCCTCACATCTAAAGACAATAAACCAGCAAATTTTCATAATGTCAGGTTATATATACTTTAAGTTAATGAACTAGATATATAAAAGCTATAAAATATTTCACAGGCATGGGAAGATGTGTTCATGAGACTTCATTGTAAGAAGAGGTATAGAATGTCAGAGATTTTTCAAACCTACAAAGGAATTTCAAAATTTACACTGTTTACAAAGTTCTTGCGTGGATAACTTTTAATCTTCATTCATCAGAAGACTTAATTAGAGCAGCTTTCTTCTTATACTTTTCTCCAATCTCTCTAATATTTTCCAAGAGATCTTCAGACGCATGGTCTTCATACTCTCTATCGACTTTAGCAATCTGCTCCTCAAGGTGTTTCTAGTGGAAACAATTAGCAATTGTTAATGTAAAAACATAAATTTACAGACAAGAGTACACCCTTTGTAAGAAAAGGATTAAAAGGAATGCTCTTGTATCCACCATGTAGGATCCTTTGTGCTCTTTCCAAATCATATTCTCTTTTCTCCCCAGAGGCAACTACTTTCCTAAATGCTTTTCTTTTCTTTATATACTACGCGCACACACACAGACACAGGTGTATGTACTCTAAACGATATAGTTTAGTGGAACATGGTTTCAACTTCATATTTATTGAATTATATTAAAGGTAACATTCTGACTTTTCTTCAGCCAGTATTTTAAGATTCATTCATGTTAATACATACCACTACATTTATTCATGTACTGCTATACAGTATTCTATAGAATGAATATACCCTTTACTTATACACTTTACCATTAATGAATTTTTTTATTCCCAAGCATGGTAGGCTGAATAGCAGCCTCTCCAAAGATGTCCATGTCCTAATCCCCAGGACTTGTGAATTTGTTATCTTACATGCTTGCAAAAGAAACTTTGCAGGTATAAGTTAAGGATCACAAGACGAGATTATTCTGTGCTACACTGGTAGGTCCAACATAATCACAAGGCTCCTTGGAAGAGGGAATGAGCAGTGTGACAATTAGAGTAAAGATCTACAGACAGAAGAGAAGTCAGAGGATAGGAGATGCTGTGCTAGGAGGAACAGGCCACAAGCCAAGGACTGCAGGTGGCCTCTGGAAGGACTGCAGCCAGAGGTCCCATTTTAGACTTCTGACCACCAGAAATATCAGAAATTTGTGTTGCTTTAAGCTATTCAATTAGCAATAATTTGTTGTGGCAACAATAGGAAACTAATACACTAGGTTATTTGTTTTTTCACTATTTCAAATTTAATAACATAGCAAAGCACAATTTATTTCACAAAAATTAGGTGGCCTACAACAACGAAGTTTATGCTGTCAGTTCTGGAAGCTGGCAATCTGAAATCAAGGTATTGACGGGGCTATGTTCTCTCTGAAAGTTCTAGGGAAGAATCCTTCTTTGCCTTCTCCCAGCTTCTTCCAGTTACCCTTGGTACTCTTTAGTTTGTAGCTACGTCACTGTATTTCTGCCTCTATCTCCACATGGACTTTCTATAGGATACCAGCCACTGGATTTCAGGTCTACCCTAATCTAGTACGACTGCATCCTAACTAAGTACATCCACAAAAACTTTGTTTCCAAATAAGGTCACACTGTGAGATTTCAGATAGATAGGTAGTTTTGGGGTATATTGTTTAACCCAGTACAGTACTCTAGCAGCATAAAAATTTAATTTAATACCTAGAGTGAAACTGCATGGCTTTATTAGGGATTGCCAAATTGTTCCCTAAAATTGTTATATCAATTTACAACCCCAGCAACATAAATGAGAACTCTCATGTTTATAATTCTTGTGGCAAGTAGTATTATTAAAGTTTAATTTATTGCCAGTTTATTGAGGGTGGGAATGGTATATCTTTTCATATGTTTGTTGGCCACATTAGGTCTTTATGAAATTCCCTTTCAAGTCTTTGGCCCACTTTTCATATTTATTTTTCAGAGATTATATGTATCTAGATCTGTTACCAGTTGTTTAAAAAAAATTCTACCATTTTATTGTTTATCTTTCTACTCCCTATATAGAGATCTTAATTTTAATAGAGTTGAATTTAATTGAATAATTCATTTTTTTCTCCACTATTCTACAATACTACCTCTCATATATCAGTTTCTTGCCTATGCTCAATCAGCTGTTTCTGGATTCTTTGCAAGACAGGCTAGTTTGTATGTATAAATACTACAATGTGGTGATTAATATACCTTTATAATAATTTTCGAACATCTAAACAGACAAAAGAAAAAAAAAGATTCTGTGCCCTTCAGGGAGGTAGGAACCCAGAATAGGAGTCAGCAACCTTTTTCTGAATAAGTATTTTATTTTAGGCTTTGCGGCCTGAATACAGCAGATGGTCTTTGTGGCACCTGCTGAGCCCTGGTCTTGTAGCGGGAAAGCAGCCAAGGTAGTATGAAAGTGAAATGAAATGGTTGTGTTTCAGTAAAACTTTATTCACAAAATTAGGCTGTGGGCACAATTTGGCCTGCAGACTGTAGTTTGCTGTCTCCTGGCTGAGAACATCATGGCTCCACTAGGAACTGCTCAAAGAAACACACTGACCCATGGGAAATACAACATCTGAAGACACCATTAGATCCAAATTCCTGTTTTCTTCAGTACAATTTCATCACTCATAAACTTTCTCCATATTAGGTTTTAATGATAATTGCTTAATTTTCTATGCTCCTTCTATACTTTACTGGCTAATTGTGAATTTTGCATAGTGCAAAGTAGGTGCTCAGGAAATGAACTCAGTCTGATCTTCTTAACAACATTAAACTATAGAGTAATTAAAAAGTAATAATAATCTATCATTAGACTTTCAGATATAATTTTGTGTTAACTGATTGAAACTTTAATAGTTGTGGGTACCTTTCACATAAATCCATAGTGATAAATCACTACTAGCTTAACAACACTAAGGTCAGACTAATAGTTATCTACAATAGAGGTACAAAGAATATTGGCAATTATTTAGAATAATCCTTTCATTTTTACAGAAGACAGACCAAAAGAAGTCAAATGATACACACAAGCAGACTTTCTCAATCTAAGCCAACAACAGTGTATTATGAATGAATATTTCTCTTAAAAACCAACAGTAGACTAAAACTATTACACAGCATACATGGGAGAAGGAGAAAGTAATCAATCGCTCAAATCATTTTCTGGTCTGTGGCTGAAAAAGGATTCACTAAAGGTTATAGAGCCACTAAATTGCTGAATTAGAAGAATGGGTAGAATCCTGGTTTTCTGATGTATGTAGGATGCTTTTCTTAATTTTAACTAGTAAGCAATGAAGAGCACTGGCAAACAAGAAAGCAGCAGATCAATGTCATTCAGGAGAGATGAGGAAAAGTAGGATATCATATGCTCTGCTCTCAATATACGGAAGTCTATTAATGTAACATAATGAACCTTCTTTTCTTAAACCATTCCCAATTGGAAATATATTACCTAATAAATTACCTAGGAATTATGGAGTATAGCAATTACCTTAGCTTTTGTATTCTGTACAGATGGTTGGAAGAAAAGTTTTATTGTTAAACTTTCAATTTATGTGAAAGGTGAGGATGAGGTAAGCATTATGTTTCAGAAATACTTGATTCTATGTTTATATGAAATTAACAGAATGGAAAAGTGGTTGTCATAACATGTACTTTCATCTGAATGAAATCTTAAATGTACTAAAATGTTTACAGTGCGTAGAATGAGGTTTGGCACCACATTCTATGATGTTGATGCAATAATCGTTGTTTATGTGAACAAAACAGGTTACTTATAAGATGCGCAAGTGTCCCCTCACACCACTGCTAGACAGGATTCTTCTGATAAATTTACACTAGATCATAATTCCCATAGAAATAAAGCTTATCATTTATTTTTTTGTAGAAACAAAAGAGAAATATATAAAAACTTTAAAAACTTTCTTAGAATGTAGAAAAGACCTTCATACACTTACCTCCACAGACCCTACATGGGTAGCAACCATCTCTAAAAGACACTGCAAATTATTTCCCACTTTTCGTCTTTCTTCAGTTGTGGTCTGTACAACTAGTTGGTATCTGTAGGATAAAAACTCTTGTTTGAGTTGCCTAGTAAAAAAATTTAGTATATACCCCTTCTAGTTAGTTCACTTCCCCTTTTCATATCAACAAAACCAGGCTGTGATAGGGATATGTGCTGCGTGTTATATGTATGATTAATTCACAAAGGTGCAGCTTTCAATCACTAAACAGAAATAAAAACTTTTTCAAATATCCTTTGTAAGCAACAAAACAGCAAAACTTCATTCTTTAACATACAAAGCTTGGAAGCAAATGGTTTTACCCGAGTCTCCAAAGGATTGTAAACTTCTTGATCTAATCTTTTTCTACGATTATCATGCATAATATCATTTATAGTAAAAATTTCTCTTTATGAATGTGTTTTGGGGTGAGAAATGAAATACACTTGAATGGGAGAGCAGGAGTCTTGTTCGATGGCATTCAAATTCAAATTCAAATTCAAAACAAAAACTGCAGGCCAAAAAACCCCTTCAACCAAATTTTCTATCGCTAGGCTACAAATAAGAAAATGAAGATCTGTGATTTTCTTTTTTTTTTTGAAAAATATATTTTATTGATTATGCTATTACAGTTGTGATCTGTGATTTTCTTAAGGGTAATACTTCCAACATTACAGTAAGATTTTTAAAAGTTATTTGGAGGTCACTTGACACTTAGAGAACCTGTAAATTAGCTAATAAACATACTGACTTTATACAGGTTGAACTAGAGAATTATATACACACAAAGGCAAAAAAATTTCTATAAGGAATGTCACTATTTTTAGTTACATTTATGGCACTGTGTCTAAAATGTTTCCTATTTAAGTTTTAATAAGGGAAACAAAAAGGGAAAACTTGACAGTGTATAATTTGATAGTAAAGAACTTCTAAAAAAAGTAACAGCGTCCAGTTACTTCTGCTATAGTGCTTGTTGGAAACATGTATTTGTTGCAATTGGATATATTAGGTAGCAATTAGAGCATAATGCAAATTTTGCATTTGCTTATACCAATTTCCTCCTTGAGAAACATTATGTGAATGCAGAGCACTGCATTCAGCTGAATCCAAATGCAAAGAAATATATAAAACATACACGCACACACCTGACAGGGGCACTAGCTCCTACAGTTCCTTAAATACGTGATGAGCCACATGCATCTATATCTGATACTACAATTTTCTATTTAGTTTCAGATAACCCTCCTTCTACCTCTTCCCGTTAATTCACAAGGTGCAACCCTTTGAAAGCCCACTTCCCCATATAAAATTTAGGTCTTTTTAAGGTAGAGTATACTACTTCTTGTGGTATTTAGGTATTTCTTAAAAATATTTAACATGTTTACAATTGTGCTAACATTTTCATTAGGTTCCAGTCTTTGTTTATGTGTAACTGACCAAGTTTTGGAAAGTTGGGCCCCGATCATAATTTTCCCATAAGCCCTGTGGTTTTTATTGCAGATGTTTTTTCATAGTGAAGCAGGGTGTAGACTGAGAGGCCTCCAAAGCCCCCATAGCCCTTGGTTGGAAGGGTGGGGGGAACAGATGATATGGCTTGAGATATTTTCATAACAAAGGCAAAATAATAGCTGTGCTACTGCCTCCGGGCAAGGTGTGTGTGACTTTCAGGATGTATTCTGGGGGGAAAAAAACCCCCAAGGAACTGTAATTGACTTTGAAGCTAGTAAAAGCCAACAAGAAAAAGCCTAATACCACCTTGACTGGTTGTGTGGTTCCTGGCAGTCTTTCCAGGAAAGAAACGAAGGTTGAAGGTTGCTTTTCTGAAAAAATGGCTAGAAGAAACCTTAAGGCACAATGGAAGACTTAAGGACTTGAAAAAAGCAGGTGGTAGAGGCAAGGCCAAATGGCAGATATGTGGCTCAACTTCTGTGCCCTGAAGGGTGGACTAAAAAGTCAATCTAAAGGTTCCCTGTGTAAATTCCAGCAAAGCAGACTTAAAAGTCATATGTAATCAATTGCTGCTCTTGGTGTGTTTATACAAAAGAACAGGAAATATTAAAACTGGACTTAATGCAGTCCCTTTAATGATAATAAGGGTAATCTTAGGAAGAAAAATAATAATTCAAAAAAATCATAAAGCTCAGTGTTGGACATTAAACTAGTGCAGCTATCTTCAAAGTTTTTCATTTAAAAGTTAAAATTGGGTTTTTGACATCATCAAAAATGCTCAATTTACAGACAAAAAAGATCTGTCAATTTGCCACTGTTAAATGTCATGCTATCAAGGGCCTTGCAATTAAATGTCTTCCCCAAAGACTCGCAGTCTCAAAAAACTGGTTCATGACTGCAAATTGTATAAATTAACATGTGTGTTCTTCCTTCTGTTTTCATAAGGCGTAATAAGCCTATGATCTCATTACCTAAGTAATCAGTTGCAATATAGAACTCACTTAAGAAGCCCACCTGCAGCTCCACCTCCTAAGACTCAACAGTTTGATTGAACTAAGTGGTTGGTTGGTGAAATGTTGGTGCGGTCTGTGGGCTTCACTTTAAAACTGGTTTCCTTTTCCAAAAAAAGCCACTCTTTTCCTAATGTGGGACATTGAAATGAATTGGTCCCTGCCTTGGACACAGGGTTTCAACTGTGCTTTCTAACCTTCCTGTCTCCAGAATATGACAATGCCAACATGTCCAAAGGTCAGCCCTTGGACACCAAACACGCCACTGCCTGGGGACAGCCAAGTGACCTCAACTCTGCAAGGCCCCCCCCCCCCCCCCGCCCCGCACACACAAAGGCCATCCTCTGCTCTGCTTCACGTGCTTACTTTGTTAGGAACTACTGAACTCAGGCATAGGTAGAACAATGGCTATGGCCAGCAGAAGGTAACTCCGAAAATTTAAGACCTTCATCCATTGTGCTTTATAAGATTATAAAGACCCACTTCCGCCCAAGATGGAGGCGTAGGTAGGCACACTGTGCCTCCTCCCACAACCAAAATAAGGACAACCATTTAGAAACAAAGTAACAACCAGAACTGACAGAAAATTGAACTGTATAGAAGTCCAACAACCAAGGAGTTAAAATAGACACATTCATCCAGACCAGTAGGAGGGGTGGAGTTGGCAGCCAGGCAGAGAGGGGTTGTGGCAAAAAAAGTGGTGGCACCTGGCACGCAAGGCAGCATCTAACTCCAGGCATGCAAGTCCTCAGCGGGAGGACCCTGGGCGCCCAGGTGGCAACCGGCAGACCCAGAAAGGTGGCGATTGTGAAGTGGGGCATGGCGTGCAAGGCGGCTGGCTGACCAGATGGTCCCACATTCGAGATCAGAGAAACCAGGCAAAACTGGGGAGCGAGACAGACCATGCAACCCAGGGCCCCAGTGCGGGGAAATAAGGCCTTGGAACACCGACTAAAAACACCTGCAGGAGTTGAGGTATCGGGAGAGACACCCAGCCTCACATGAGAGTTCGCTGAAGAGACCCACAGGTTCCTAGAACATACACAAGCCCACCCACATGGGAATCAGCACCAGAAAGGCCCAGTTTACTTTGGGAGAAGGGCAGAAGGGACTGAAATCCAACAGAGAGCAGAGCAAGTGCCATTGTTCCCTCTCGGACCCCGCCCCCACATACAGCGCCACAACCCAATAACTGAGCTGTCTTGCCCTGGTGAACACGTCAGGCTCCGCCCCTCATACATAACAGGCATGACAAGACAAAAAAAAAAAAAAAAAAAAGGCCCAAACGGAACAACAGATCAAAGCTCCAGAAAAGACACAATCAAGTGATGAAGAGGTAGCCAACCTATCAGATGCACAGTTCAAAGCACTGGTGATCAGGATGCTCACAGTATTGGTTGAATTTGGTCACAAATTAGATGAAAAAAATGAAGGCTATGCTAAGTGAAATGAAGGAAAATGTACAGGGAACCAATAGTGATGGGAAGGAAACTGGGACTCAAATCAATGGAGTGGACCAGAAAGAAGAAAGAAAACTCAAACAGAAAAGAATGAAGAAATAAGAATTCAAAAAAATGAGAAGAGGCTTAGGAACCTCCAGGACATCTTTAAATGTTCCAACATCCGAATTATAGGGGTACCAGAAGGGGAAGAGGAAGAGCAACCAGTGGAAAACTTATTTGAACAAATAATAAAGGAGAACTTCCCCAATCTGGCAAAGGAATAGACTTCCAGGAAGTCCAGGAAGCTCAGAGATTCCCAAAGAAGTTGGATCCAAGGAGGTACACACCAAGGCACATCATAATTACATTTCCCAAGATTAAAATGAAGGAGAGAATCCTAGAAGCAGCCAGCAAGAGATAAGGAGACAGTAACCTACAAAGGAGTTCCCATCAGACTCTCAGCTGATTTCTCAAAAGAGACCTTGCAGGCAAGAAGGGGCTGGAAGGAAGTATTCCAAGTCATGAAAGGCAAGGACCTACATCCCAGATTGCTCCAGCAAAGCTTCAATTTAGATGGAAGGGCAGATAAAGTGCTTCTCAGATAAGGTCAAGTTAAAGGAGTTCATCATCACCAAGCTCTTATTATATGAAATGTTAAAAGGACTTATCTAAGAAAAAGAAGATAAAAAACATGTATAGTAAAATGACAGCAAACTCACAGTTGTTAACAACCACACCCAAAACAAAAACAAAAGCAAACTAAGCAAACAACTAGAACAGGAACAGAATCACAGAAATGGAGATCACATAGAGGATTAGCAACAGGGGAGTGGGAGGAGAGGGGCAAAAGGTACAGAGAATAAGTAGCATAGATGGTAGGTAGAAAATAGACAGGGGGAGGGCAAGAATAGTATGGGAAATGTAGAAGCTAAAGAACTTATGACACATGGACATGAACTAAAGGGGGGGGAATGTGGTTGGGAGAAGGTGTGCAGGGTGGTGGGGAATGAAGGAGGGGAATGATACAATTGTAATAGCATAATCAATAAAATATATATTAAAAAAAATCAGGTACCACTTCAAACCCTCTGTTCCAAAAGAGAAAGAGGTCGATGAGATATGGACAAAAATTAAATTATAGAATGCAAAAAGAGAAACCATGTTAAAGAAAAATACAAATATTTATTTATAATGTGAAGATAAATATTAGAATATTAAAATGATATATACAGAAGCCATATATATATATATAGTCCCCAAAGTAAGAAAGGGTCGGAATTGAAACAAAGTATAGACTGATGGTTCCCCAAAGCCCCCATAGCTCTTGGTTGGGGGATGAGGGGAACAGATGATATTTTTCATAAGAGGCAAAGTAATAGCTGTGCTACTGCCTCAGGGCAAGGTGAGCATGACTTTCACGATATATCCTTACTCATGGTATAGCCAGAGGGGTAGTCTTTCTGGATCACTAAGTCACTCTTGCCCTGACTGGGAATGGCAGCGGGAAGAATGTAAACTATACAGGGAAGCTGGCAAATGTAGCTCACTGTGGGAAAAGTCAAAAATAAGGTCATGCAGAAGGCTCTGGGTCAGGATTTAAAACTAAGGGTGAGGAGTCACAAGGAAAGCCATGATGAAGGAGTGTAAAGAAGCCATGCTGCCAATACAGAAAGAGGAGCCATGAGAAAAACAAAAAGCTTACAGTAAGGGTACAACCATGCGGCCAGTAATAAGATAGGAGCCGTGCAGGCTGTAGAAGCTGGCCACCATGGGCTAGTAAGAAAGCTGGCATGCTGTTTTAAGCATGCCTGCTCCAGCAAACTCCAAAGCCACTAAGGATCCTGCCTTGCGAAACACTGACCTGCTGCCTTGCACACCCAGACTCTATCTGGACTCTTGAAACTTGTGCCTTCCTGGACTTCACCATAATCCAGTGCACCACGGCATATGTATTCCTTGGACTATAACGTGGAGGCTAATGACAACATACCCCAGATCCTGAAGAAAAAAGCTGCTGTGAGACTGCACAGCTAGCTTAAAATTAGAAAATGGGGAACTTTTTGAGCTTTTGGCTTATAGCCTTTTGGGAAACAATGGAAGTGTTGGGTCTTGTGAGAAAGAAGGGCTCCAAGCATTAGTACTCTGAGTGCTTGCAAGGTCAAAATATTGTAAAAAAAAACCTGTTCCTTCCAGAGTTAATTGTTGGGTCATTCACCAAGGTGCTACATGGACAGGCCTGTTTACTTGGTTACAATTATGGAGTGAATATTATGAAGATACATGTTGTGTTATAGCAGACTAACTCTGTAATCTATAGTAAAATTATAGTTTATATACACCTAATTTCTAAGAACTATATCTTAAAAATATGAGCTTAGTGGAGTTTATTAAAGCTTAGTGAGACTTTACTAAAATTTGCTAACAAATAGCCAAAGTTATTTGAATTGATTTAAAATTTTATGTTGTTTTCAGGGATTAAAAACCCAATTACTAATTACATCTAAAAATGAAGGGGCAATAGCTATAACAGCAGCAGAATGTATTTGTCTACACATATACATATGTAGACATATGTATAGCTATATGTATTTGTATACATATATGTATACCAGCAGAATGTATTTGTCTGGGGAAAGTATCTTCATGTTACAAGCTATTCTGTTTAAGTTCTATTCACCACTTCCTCAACAACCAAAGAGCTCTACAACACATATTAAAGCAAATAAACATAGATCTAGTTCTACAGAATGTCAAATAAACTGAAAATAAACATTATAAATCTTGGTGAGATGAACTTACTCCCGCTGAATAGAATCTAATTCGTTCGTAGCTTCACTGAGGCCCTCATTAACAGCACTCTCCAGCATGTGCTTGTGCTTCTCCAAGGACTCCAGCTCACTGGCACATTTATTGTCCTCTTCTTCAGCTTCCTATCAGAATAGAGTCATGGTTATATATTTTGATATTCACCTCCTATATACTTCAGGTGGATTTAAAAAAATTTATGTAAGCATTTGAAAAATCAGGTTGCATCATCATTTGTATTCTCACGATGCTTACTACTTTACATGTAAGACATATTCAATTAAAATACTCTTTTGGGAATCTTATACTATAAACATAAATGTGAACTTCTCAACAGACCTGTTTAAAATTTATTCAGCAGTGTTTTCAAGTTTGTACTGAAAGAAATTTTATGATACTCCGATTTAAATTTTTCCATGACATTAAAGATACTTTTTAATAAGTCAAAATGTGGGTAATTTTCACACAACCATTATTTTACACATATATTAATTATGAACAGCCAAAGTAGCCCAAATTCATCAATTCTTAGGTTTCTCAAGATGAAATATAAAAAAGTCTTTTACTTTCACTTAAGTGCTTTAAAGAAAAAATTCAAGTGTTGTCATAGAGAACATATGAAAAAACAAAAATGATTATCAAATGCCTCATATTTCACATGTAGATCACATTATTGTGGTGTATTTTCTACAGATTTCACACTGCTTATAAAATGTATACGTTGTATAGGTCAAGAGAAAAGTTTCAATTCCTGATACCTTGTTGGTGTAACTAAGTAAAAAGTATTGGTGGTTAAAATTTTCACATAAACTGCATAAGTGGTAATGAACAGAGTCATCTGAGTACTACCGTAAGTAAATGCTGGCCAGAAAGAGAGGTGGTGGGGAATGAATCTTATTATTTTACCCATATTCTAGATTTCATGTAAATGACCTTTAGAATTTGGCCAGGATAGTCAGTTTGTAATGACACTTTTATGCAATTACATACAAAAGGTCTTATTGGGGTATAAACTTTAGAAGTACTTAAGACTAAATCTCCATAAAAAGGTAGAAAAAATTATGTTTAAAACATAAGGATACTAAATCACATATGCAGGCATAAAAAATTAGTGAAAGAGTAAACATATTCTATGGTGAAACAGCTGGAGTCCAGACAGTCATTTAAAAAAAATAGAAAAGCTCCACACAGTAAATTCTGGAAGACAAAACTAAAACACAAGTTGTAGGATATAGCTTAAATATTTCAGTTTGCTGTCAGAACTAATACCAAGTCAATCAATCAAGACACAGCTTTGGCTAACCTATATAAACTGTGGCAACGTTCTTACCTTAACCTTTTGTTGGTAAAGATCATCCAGCTTTTGAATTTCTTCTTTCAGACTTCTTACACTTCTCCTACTTTCTGTTATCATTGTATTTAACTTGGGAAATAAAATTTTGGGTGAGAAATCATAACCATACATCAAAAAATTTAATTAGTTATTTAACTTTTATATTAACAACTAAATAAACCATGTTATTTCTTCTAGTTCTTTTGGACACTTCTCAGTAAAATAAGGATACCATCATGTTTTTCCACTAGTAGCTGTGGGAATGCCTTTAAGCTCTCATGTACATTATATAAATATTATATACTGTTTTTATATTAATGTATTAATAAATATAAATTATTTTTTCTCTCTAGTTTCCTTAGACTTTATCTACTTTAGTTCCCTAGCATCCCATTTATGTTCACTTTCTGGGATAGTAAAGAAAACTATTCATATGAATTTTATTGGGTAACATTTGCTAATTGGTTATAGTCAATACATTCTTCCAAAGAGTAACCAAATTTAATCTTGTGCTTTAAGATGTTAAAACTAAAATAAAAGAAAAGGTGTTTCTAAAGCTCATTTCGTGTTGATAGTGCTGACACCAGACGATATTGGTAATACAGAATATTTTTTAGCTATATCAAGAGGAAACTATTTCCCATAGGAAACAGAAAATAGTAAAAGGTATAAACTAGTACCTTTCTTTAAAAGGACGATTTTACATATAGACAAAAAATTTAAAAATTATATATGTTTTGGGGCAAATTTAGTGAAGGTATTGTTACTTAGCAAAAGATAGGATGGTTAAAGGACTACACTTGTTAAAGAAACGCATATATGTCTCATTCAGTCATCAAAAGTCCCTAGTAAGGGACCTTCTATTTTACAAGTGAGAAGAGTCGGCTGGAAAAAATGCTATTTACTCCAGGATCATGCAACTAGCATATACCCAGAACTAAAACCTAGATGTTCTAACTCAAAGGACATTTTGTATACCACCCACCTTTTCAATTATGTTAAAGACCAGAGTTACTGAAGTTATAAACTTTGCTTCCACTCTAAAGATATTTTACTTCTAAAGTAATTACTAAGTTAAGCTAGTTGTTTCATGAAATTCATCTACAGTAAGACCAATGGGCACCTAAAAATCAGAATCTCCACCGGGTCCTCATGACTGGTCAAAATCATGTTCACTTATCTTTGAGGAGCTTTTATTTTCCATGTCAGCTTTATTAAAGCTTTATTCATCCATTAATTAAACATTCCCCTACCCATTTATGAAAATACACATTTCCACTGTGGTAAACAGGAAAAATTAAAGAATAATAATCATTAATGATAATTTTGCAACCAAAAATAATCATTACTAATATTTGGCATACTTCCTCTAGTCTTTCTTTCTTGTTTCTTTCTTTCATTCAACAAAGAGATATAAAGTTGCTTATGAAAAAAGGAACTCAGAAAAGCCCTGGCTGGTATGGCTCAGTGGATTGAGCACTGGACTGCAAAGCAAAGGATCACTGGTTCCATTCCAAGTCAGGGCAGATGCCTGGGTTGTAAAGCCAGGTTCCACAGTGTGGGGCATGTGAGAGGCAACCACACCTTGATGTTTCTCTCCCTCTTTCTCCTTCCCTTCCCCTGTCTAAAAATAAATACATAAAATCTTAAAAAAAAAAAAAAAAGACTGGAATTCTAGCACTTCTTGCTTCCAACCAACCAAGATACTTGTATGAGACCTTTCCTTCTTCCTTTCAGTCAGTTTCAGAATACAGGACACCTATTTTCCCAATGAAAAAAATTAACCTTCCAGCTCTTCTCTGGATCCTATGCTTTCACCTTCCTTCATGAACTACATTCATATTGGTCAATCCCTTTTGCTCTTATTTTTTTTTAAAACTTTACCCTCTTGCCCTTGAACCCCCTTCTTATCTTTGTAATGAAACCCTTTTTCCTATAAAATCCCAAAAACAAAACCTCAAAAAACAGAAACCTTTCCCACGTACCACTTTCTATTGTTTCATCTCCTTTCCTTAGACAGAAACATTTACTATAGTTTAATCTGTAGTAGTCCACAAAGAGTAGCCTATTCATAGTATAGTATATTCCATCTTGTACCATTTAAGATTCGATGCACAGTAATATGCTCTCTGGCTCCTATGCTTTTGCAAATGTCACTAGTAACCATCTTAATGGCTAAAGCCATGAGCAACTTTCAGAGTTAATCTTATTTGACATCTGATTACTCCTTTCTGAAATCCCCTTCCTTGGTTTTTAAGACCATGTAAACTCCTGGTTTCCTCTTTAAGTTTTGGGAGGTCCTTCTAATTCTTCCTCATAAGTTTCTCTTTCTCTGCTTGTGCTTTGGACATGGGTGTTTTTTCAGGATTCTGATCTTGGCTACATTCTCACTCACTTGGGAGAGCACTCTCTCTCTCATTCTCACACTGGGAGATCTCCTGGCTTAAGTAGCTATACACTAAGAAATATCTGTATCTATAGATCTCCAAACTCTAATTGCCTATTGGACATTCTCCACTTTAGTGTCCCAGAAATCTAAAACTCAGTATATCCCATCCTGAAATTCTCTCTTCCATAACCTCCTCTTGTATTCTTTATCTAGGTTCTAGAACATCACCACTGACAAAGATTCTCTCCTTGACAAAACTATTTATACTCTGAACTTTCTTCTTAACTAGGGTGACTTTTGGGCTTCACGTTTGTCTCTATATTGTCTAATGTTAGCAAAACCCCCACTTACGTATTTTAACCAGAATCCCACCATCTTCAGTATCTGATCTAGTCCTCGTCTTCCAGCCCCCCTTAATGTTCTTTCCTTCAGTAAGAACTCTATTAGGTCGGTTTGGCCAGAATCCCCCTTAATTCTGAAATTCCCCTCAGTAATTTTCAATCCATTGAACTCTACCTTGCTCTTTGGCTATAAGTTCTCACTTCTCTTTATTGTTATTTGAAGTTGAGTCCAATCTCTCTTGCCTTCTACAAAAACCCCACTGTAATAGTACCACTTGAATAAAGTCTGCCTTACCATCTTTGACAAGTGTCATGAATAATTTTTCCACACCATGTACCAAAGCTGGACACCTAAACATTTTAAATTCTTCTCTCCCTTAAACTTTATATCCAAATAAACCACTAAATTAGGTTGTTTCAATCTTTAAATCTCTTTTCATCTTCACTACAATAGCCTTAGTTTCAGTCTTTACCATTTAGGTTACTGTGAGGTGTCTTTATTGTGTCTCTACTCTTCAATATAGCAACACTGATAGAAAACTTCAATGGTCCCCACCACCTATAGAATAAAAATTCAGCAGGTAAGTAAGAAGTAATAAGCCCCTTCATAATTAGGTCCTTATTACTCCAGGCTTCTCTGTCATCCTACTTATACTCATGGTGAGTCATTAACATGCTATGCTCTTTGATCTCTGCACCATCAGTGGTGTGTGTGTGTGTGTGTGTATCCTTCTGTGTAATCCACTGGCCAATTCCTACATGTTATTTACAACTCAGCTCAGCCACCACTTCTTTCAGGAAAAAAACTGTGTTTATTTTAGATAGGTAATTATGAGAATCTACAATGATGTATTTACACTACAAAAATGACATGAAAGTTAATGTTTTCAGGCCCTCCTTCTCGCTTGAGATATAATTCACAAAGGTAGATACTGTATTACCAACACCAATTACAATAACACCAGATGCAGGCTCTCAAAAAATATCTGAATCAATTTTAGTTGCTAATATTTAAACTTTACATTTATATTCATAAGTGTAACTGGTTTAATTTTCTTTTGCAATGTCTTTATAAGGTTGTGGTATGAGGATTATGAGAATTCATAAATGAAAATTTTTAAAGGTTTGTGTTTATATTGTACTACTTCATAACTCAAATAAATTCCCTCTACCTTTGTAGTATACAGATTTCTCATTTGCATTTTCTTGTTTTTTTTTTCTTAAACGATTTTGGCAATTATTTTAAAGTACTTTTCAGACTGATTAGTTTTGTTATTCTAATTTATTTATTTGTTTAAACTTTACTATTTCAAATTGGTATTTTACCTTATGCCATTTTAACTTGGTTAAACAGATTATCAAGATGAAAAAATAGTTTATATATATATTTAGGGTATACAATACAATGACTTGATATATGCATTTTTGTGAAATGATTAGTACATTAAGTTTAATCAGGATCACTCCTTTCTTGAAAAGTCTTCCCTACTTCGGCTTTTATAGCATATTCTTTTCTTTTGATTGTTCTCCAACTATTTTGTCTACTTCCTTGATGTATTTTTCCCAGAATCTTCTTCATTTTCCAATCCCTTAAGTGTTGTTCCTTCTCAAAGATTCAATCCTCTGCCACTTCCCTGTATATTCTCTCCCTAAGAAATATCACTCACATATTCAACTATCACATATATGCCAAAGATCCTGATATCTGTAATTTTGGACTCAACCTCTCCCTTATGTTCACAATCTACTGCTTCAACTTCCTTTTGGATGTCTATGTACCCAAAAGAGCAAGCTCAACATCTCTAGCACAGTCTTGGCCACCCCAACATTCATTTTTCTTCCTTTAGGTTGCCCACACTATGAAAATTTAACTCACTGTTGATATTTCTTTTGCTCTTCGGTTTTACATTCATCCATTAAATGCTTGGGTTCTACCTTCTTAACATTTCCTAAACCTGTCCCCTTTCTTCCACTTCTATTTCTACTACAATAAGTTAACCTCTTAACGATTTTAGTTGCTTCACCTGTAATTCACTTTTTTCAATGCTCAAATGATTTTGCAAAAATATAAATCTGATTAGCATAACTGCATACCAGTCTTTTTCTCCAAATGGGAATTTATATTTCATATCAATTTCAGTTATCTTTATCTTTGGAACATTAACCTGCCCATAGTAGGCATCTCATAATGTCCATTCCTCTTCAGTTTTCTTTCCTATAGACTTTAAAAAGTTTCAGTGTAAATTTGAAAGATATTTCAGTCACGAGGTTTCTATTGCTTGCATTCCACATTTTGTTGAGTCTTTTGTTTTGGTGCACATCAAAACAGAAGTGAGGAAACAAACTGAAGCGGGCTACAGGAAGAGTTCGACTTAGGTAACAATCATGTCTATGAAACATCTGTTAAAGCAGTCCTAATTCCTTATATTCTTTTCATACTGTAACGTTCCAGAAACCCCAAATTATAACAATATGTATCATGAAATTCCTCACTTATATGTTGCAAACTTTTCAATTTTTTTTCCGAGTGGAAAAATACTTTCTAATACAAAGTCAGTCTTAACAGAATTGGTTAACATTAAAAACTACGGGGTTTACTTGCATTTGTAAAACACCATAGGTTTTATTTCCAGATGAGAAAAAATAAACAAGTCTCTACTTTGAGAAAAGACAGGATTTCTTTTATATAGTAGTTCCCTTTTATCTGTGAGGGATAAGTTCTATGATTCCCAGTGGACACCTGATACCACGGATAGTACCGAACCCTATATATACTTGAACACAAGCATTGCAATACAGCAGTTAATCTGATAGCTGAGATGGCTACTAAGTGACTAAACAGGTGGGTAGGTAGTGTATAAAGTATGAATAGGTTGTACAAACGGATGATTCACATCCTGGGCAGGATTTCATCAAGCAACTCAGAACAACATGTAATTTAAAGCTTATGAACTATTTGTGGAATTTTCCACTTAATATTTCTGGACTGCAGTTGACTATGGGTAACCAAAACTATAGAGAGCAAAACTGTGGAGGGCAGGGCTGGCAACTGTATCTTGAGATCTGTTAGCCAGACAACAGTTCTTGGACAGCTGAATTAAGTAGGTTTTCCTTTAATTGTTGAATGTCATAATAATACCTTTAGTTTGTATTAGAGTGGCTTTTCCTTTTTTTAAGCGTATTTTATTGATTATGCTATTACAGTTGTCTCATTTTTTTGCTCCCTTTTATTCCCTTCAAACCTGTACCTCCCCTCCCACCAGCATTCCCCACCCTTAGTTCATGTCCATGCATTGTACAGAAACATTCTTTGGCTTCTCCATTTCCTATGCTATTCTTAACCTTCCCATCTATTTTGTACCTATGCTTCTTACTCCCTGTACCTTTCCTCCCATTCTCCTCCCACCCCCTCCCTGTGATCTCCATTTCTGTGGTTCTGTTCCTGTCTTAGTTGACATTTGCTTAGTTCATTTTTGTTTTGCTTTTTATGTTTGGTTGTTGATAGTTTTAAGTTTGTTGTCATTTTACTGTTCATATTTTTGATCTTCTTTTTCTTAGGTAAGTCCCTTTAACATTTCATATAAGAGCTTGGTGATGATGAACTCCTTTAACTTGACCTTATCTGGGAAGCACTTTATGTGTCCGGAAGTGATAGGTTTGCTAGATAGAGTTATCTTAGATGTAGGTCCTTGCCCTTAACAACTTGGAATACTTCTTTCCAGCCAAAGAAGTATTCCTTTGCCTGCAAGTTTTCCTTTGAGAAACCAACTGACAGTCTCATGGGAACTCCTTTGTACGTAATTGTCTCCTTTTCTCTTACAGCTTTTAAGATTCTCTCCTTATCTTTAATCTTGTATAATGTGATTATGATGTACTGTGGTGTGTGCTTCCTTGGGTCCAACTTCTTGGGGACCCTCTTAGCTTCCTGGACTTCCTGGAAGTCTATTTCCTTTGCCAGATTGGGGAAGTTCTCCTTCATTATGTTTTCAATTTCTTGCTCTTCCTTTCTCCTTCTAGCATCCCTATGATTTGGATATTGGAACGTTTAAAGTTGTCTCAGAGGTTCCTAAGCCTCTCCTCATTTTTTTGAATTCTTGTTTCTTCATTCTGTTCTGGTTGAATGCTTATTTCTTCTTTCTGGTCCAAATTGTCGATTTGAGTCCTTCACTGTTGTTTCCCTGTATATTTTTCTTTATTTCACTTTGCATAGTCTTCACTTTTTCTTCTATTTTGTGACTGTTGTCAGCCATTTCTGTGACCATCCTGATTATAGTGTTTTGAACTCTGCATCTGATAAGTTGGCCATCTGTTCATTGCTTAGTTCTATTTCTGGAGTTTTGACCTGTTCTTTTATTTGGGCCATATTTCTATGTCTCAACACACCTGTTAAGTTGCAAGGGGTATAGCCTTAGGTATTTGGCAGGGCTAGGCAACTCACTTTGCTGTGTTGTGGAGCTGTACGTGGGGGACGAGTCAGAGAGGGAATAACACCACTCGCTCGGCTCAGGCCTTGCTCTCAGTGACTTCCTCTGCTACCCACAAGCAAACTGGGCCCTTCTGGTGCTGATTCCTGGGGGTGTATATATGTTCTAGGACCCTGTGTGTCTCTCCAATGAACCTTCCTGTGAGGCTGGGAGTTTCTCCTGCCATCATAACTCCCCCCAGGTTTTTACAGCCAGAGGTTTTTGAGGCATTCTGGAACCCTGGGTTACTTGGTCTGTTCTCATTCCCCAGTTGTTCCTCCTGGTTTATCTGCACATGGGAGTGCCCAGTCCTTTAGGCACTGCCTTGAGGCATCCTCCCCACCCCTCCTACAAGTATAAATGAATATTTCTTCTTTAACTCCTTGGTTGTTGGACTTCCATACAGTTTGATTTTCTGGCAGTTCTTGTTGTTTTTTATTTTTAAATTGGTTGTTGTCCTTCTTTTGGTTGTGGGAGGAGGCAAAGTGTATCCACTTCTTAAATTTTCTTAACTCTAACAATTCTTAATATAAAGGTTATTATATACAATAGTACTGTTCTCTTTCAGGGATACTGGTGTTCACAAAAGCAGAAACTTTTTGCAAGCTACTTTTGGAAACAGACTATCACAGACATTTAAATTTAAGTCTCCATGAGTTCTGTCCACAATAAAAAATTTGGTAAAAAGAAATTTCTTAACTTATCATAGCTAGTTAGCTTCTAACCCCCAAATGATACATATCTACATTTAAGGTAGCCACTTAAAATTCCTTTAAGTATAAAAAGGAGTATTATTAAAATATCTCACGGTAGAGGAGGAAATTCTCCATTAAAAACAAAGAGAAATTTATTCAGTTACAGATATCCCTTCATTATCAATGATGTATCTATCAAGTCTAGGATGTTTAAGTTACTTCAAATGTCAAGGGTATTCCCAACTCTCATTTTAATATTTTATCAAGAATTAATTTCTGCCCTGGCTGGCGTAGCTCAGTAGATTGAGCGCAGGCTGCGAACCAAAGTGTAGCAGGTTTGATTCCCAGCCAGGGTACATGCCTGGGTTGCAGGCCATAACTCCCAGCAACTGCACATTGATGTTTCTCTCTCTCTCTCTATCTCCCTCCCTTCCCTCTCTAAAAATAAATAAATAAAATCTTTAAAAAAAAATTAATTTCTTAGTAAGTTAGAAACCACAAACCACATGTAATTTGAAGTTAAAAAGTATTATTTTTGCTTTTAATGACTATGTTTTATTACTTACTTGTTCTAAAGTATCATCTAATCCCATTTTTTTATTTAGAGCTTTATTACTTTCTTCTTCAGTTTGGTTCAAGAGTTCCTTGAGTGGTACCTACAAAATACAGAGGAATGTGGGTTACATATGACATATATAATTACAAACTTTCTCTCATGAAACATCTACATAATGTGATAGGAGGAACCACTTTTGGAGGAAAAAAGTGAATCTGATAGTTTGAATCTAACTTAACATCATTGAAATAAAGAATGACAGCAACTAGAGGGGAAGGGGAGAGGGATAATGGGGGAAAAGAGGGAGAGTGTTGTTAGGGAATATGTATAAAGGACACAGAGACAAAGCCAAAGGGGGTAGGATCAAGGGTGGGAGGTGGGACTAGGTGGGGCAGGGGGAGGAATGGGGGAGGGAAAATGGAGACAACTGTCCTTGAACATTAAAAAAAAAATGTACCTTGCTTTTGGTTTTGAACACATGCAAAATTCTAGATTTGTTTATCTATTCTGGAAATCCACTGTTATTATTTAAATATTTTATAAATACACTTAGTTTAATGCAGTCTCAAAAGCAATTTACATGTTTTATGCTATATATGCATCATCTTCTCTTAATCTTTTTCAGCTGTTTAGTCTTACAATTATCTGCTTGTACTTCTTTTCTTTGCTGCTATTCATTGTAACTCTATTGTAATAAAAAAGATTAGAGTAAGGATTGCTTGAATAAGCCAAACAACTGAGGACTCTGAGGCTGCATAAGAAACGAGGAATATCTCAACATGCTACTGTAGAGATTACTGGGGTAGACTATTCTGTGAATAAAGCGAGGTGGGTGTCCCAGATAGGTAAATGTTTACTAGTTTATTTAAATAAAGATATAACTCAGGAACATAGAGCAAGGTATTTGGGAAGGGGCATGGAGCTTTCATGTTCTCTGAGCTTTGCCATTCTCCCTGTATCTCCACATATTCACCAGCCTACAAGCTTACCTGCTTCTATTTCTTATGTTTTTATGCTATTTTCCTGGTTCTATTTTAACACAAAACTTCACTGCTTCTCATTATTATTACTTTTTTTTTAATTGAGGCAAAACTTACACATTAAAAAGGTTAAACTGAATTAAGGTAAAATAAATTTAACATAAAAATAACTTTCAAATGTATAATCCAGAGGCATTTAGTGATTCACAATGTTGTATAATCACCTCTAGTTCAAAAACAGTTTCATCACTCCAAAATAAAGCCCTATAAGTTACTATGTTTTCAGTAGACCTTCTGAAGTTATTAGTGAGTTTTAATTTGGGCTGCTTGTTTGAAAGATGTAATGTCCTCTAACTTTTTTCCAAATACTACTTATAACAGCTGGCATGGTACCTTCTTGAAGCTCTTTCTCCTTTTATTGTTCTATTATTATGTAATACAATTTCCAGAGATAAATGAAAAAATGGTATCTTCTTTTCTGAGAGTATGTACTTTTTATGTGATGGGTAATTTTTTCTATTGTAATTTGATTCAGGTAATTATTTTCTTACACTAGTCATGTCAAACTATTCAAAACAACAGTGAGTAAACTCTCCTCCTGGCTAGCTACCTATCTGCCTATTTACTTAGCAATTGCTTAAGAAACAATTCAGTAAAAGACTAAACGTTTACTGGTACATTTTTTTAGATAGAAAGTGAATCTAGCTTTATTTAATCAAAGTCTATCAACCAATAAACTGTAATCTCTGGGAAGGTAGGGACTATGTCTTTCTGGGTATTTTATTTCTAGCACCTAGCTAAGATGGAACATATGCCCTAAATTTATTAAACAAATAAATAATTCTTAAAGGAAAAATGCATAACTTTAGAATTGACCTTTTCATATAAAAAATTAGGTATTTTGAAAACTGGTATTTTTGGAGGGCCATGAAAATACTGAAATTTGTACATAACTGAGAAATTGCAATAGAAAAATTAAAAAATTTTCTTCCCCAAATTACATGCTTGGTCATATTAATAAGGTGGAGATTTCTCATTATTGCTGAAGCCACTTAGTGCTCTATTATATTTCATGTTTTCACATGTGTTTTTGTCCCTGAAACTCTTTCTTACAGACTACCCCCTTAAGTCTTTCAAGATTCTTTGTGGGTGTGACACTTCTATAGATGCTTTTCTCTCAATTCTGTGAAGGACTAATTTGTTACCACAACATGTAAAGACTGCTAATAAAGCACAACCCCCCCCCCATAATTAAATAGATAAAATAGGCAGAGAGGAAGAAAAGACATAATTCTAAGAGGAAGGCACAATAGAGAGAATTTCTACTGCCAAGAAGAAAGAAGAAGAAAACTTTTGGTGGTTTGTTTCTATGTTTAGTTCTGCATAATGGACATGCTGAAGTTTTTAAACTTTTAATTATAGGCATATGAACCAGACATCAATCATATAATTTGAAAACCTTTGAAGTACTCATGATTACTTACATAAACTTGAGCTCTGTATTTGACAAGGCAGTTGGCACCAGCTTCAGGATTAAACTTAATTTCAAAGTCATAACCTTTGGAATTCTCAGCACCCTTAGGTATAAGTTTTAATTTTCTAGCCAACTTGTGATACTCTGTTAATTGTGTTTCAATCTACAAAAATAGAACACAAAAAAAGAAATGTTAAAAAAAAAATAGCCCCATTACAAATGGTTTCTAATCAGCATTTCTGTAATTTTATACAAAATTATATTTCTGTACTTTTAGCAGGTTAATAATTTAGTATTTTTTAGCTGTAAGAGTGGCAGTTTTAAAATATGAAGAGTAAAAGACTTTACTCATACTAAATTTGTAGGATAATCATAAAACTATAATTAGTAAGCAATATATTATCGTTATCCCATTTATCAGACAAATAGTTTTGAAATAAAGTTACATATAAGTATTAACAAAAATTCACACCATTTCCTTTAAAAGTAACCTCAGAACCAATAAGCAGCACAAACATTAAGAAAAAATATGAAGCAAACTAAACTGAGGTACACACATCATAGTTAAACTACTGAAAACCAAAAATAGTATTTTGCCAATATTTTGTTAAGGATTTTCATTTTTGTGACATATATTTGTTCGTCACTACTGCTTGAATATAAGCTCCACGAAAGTGACTGAATTCCTAGCCTTTAGAATAGTACTTGGTACACAGCAGTTAATATTTCATTAAAGAAATAAATCTGCAGAGTCTAGGCAATTTGTTTTCATGCTGCTTCCTCCATTTAATACATACTTAGTTTCTCACTGCTGTTCCCCATGTATAAAAATGAATACTTTGAATGAAAGAATATAATGGCAAAACTACCCATTGGAAGGGACTTACTTAAATAATTTGCCATTCCTAAAAATTTATTTGCTCTACTTATTTACCAAATTTAAGATTTCCTCTTAATGAATCAAGAAATCATCTCAACTACTACAATTTGTATATCATAGCTTTCTACGGACTACTAAGATTTGCAGGTGTTAGGGGTAGTTTCTTCTATCGTTTTCTAGCATTTAATTTATCTAATGAAAACAGTTTTCAAAAGTTCATATACTGTATCATGCCTAAATGCAGGGTGAGCAAATATGTGGTACACGTGTCTCTACTTTCTCTTTTCCACAACCAATTCAGACAGTGAAAAGTGATCCCGCCTTTCCTGATGAGTCTAGATGCAGTCTTGATGTGTATCTCAACAAAGAGCCCAGAAGGCTACCACCAGTCAGAAGTGGCATATAGAATAAAAATTAGCTCAGAAAAAAAAGATGAATGAAATATGTATATTGAACTTTTGCACTCTGCCACCATTCTATACTGTCTTATCCGCCACTCAAGGGCTTTGTTCTTAGTGTCTATGGATCTAGTCTGGTTCCTCATCGGGCCATTGCTTACCTAATTTCCAGATAAATTTTTTCTTTCAACCTGGTCCTCCAAATTAAAAGTAGCATTCTTTTAAGTACAGCTATTTAACTATTAAACTCAAGAGTTTACCCAGTCCAGAGATTCCTAACTTCTCTTTTCCCACACAGTAGTCAAGAGATAAAATATGTTCATTAATATCCGTTGAAGTAACACATTCCAGATTCACCAATCTAGTCTAACCAAACTTCATTTTATAAATAAGGAAACTAAAGCTATGAGAAATTAGATGACACAATGAAGTGACACAGGCATGAGGTGGCAAATCCAGGGTGAAAACACAGGCTTACCAAATTGTAAGTTCAAAAACTTTAGGGATCACCACCACAGGCTATTTCTTTTAAATGCATATTTTTCTCCTTAATACATGAAGGTAAAGATTACTTAGAGAGTTTGGAGGATGAGGGAGTAGAGATGGTTAAGGCTAAAAAAGGAGACAATGCTTATTTCTCATACTAAGCTGTCTATTCCATATTAAGAATTACATATGTAGGTATTTAAATACAGATTTTTAATAGTGCAACTATTAAGAAACCCTCTGCACTACATCTATAATGTACTTTATCATGTGACCATGATGAAAAAGCAGTATTGCCCCCTTAGACAAACATAATTGCACTTGAATTACTTTCTCATTTTAACAATGGTGATAAATATAAGAAAAATTGTAGTAAAGAAAGTACTAGAAGTAATAGAATAAAACACCATTACTTTTGGACGAAAAGAAGGAGACTAATTTTTTATTAGTGATGTTTAAATTTTAGAACTACACCTACCAGTAAACAAACATCAAAACTAAAAATACTGCCCTGACTTATATTGCTTAGTGGGTTGCGTGTCATCGTGCAAACCGAAAGGTCGCTAGTTCGATTACTAGTCAGGGCACATGTCTGAGTTGTGGGCCAGGTTCTCAGCTGAGAGCATTCGAGAGCAACAGATCTATGTTTCTCCAGCACATGGATGGTTCTCTCCCTTCCTTCCCCGCTCTCTAAAAATAAATCTTTAAAAAAAAAAAAAAAGGCAGAAACCTGAAAACACTAGTATAAAAAACTTCAAATTAAAACTTAAGTTTGAAACTCTTAAAAGTAGAGGCTTTTAAAAGACATGTTTTCAGAGAGAGGAAGATGGTGGCGAAGTAGGATGGAGCGGATTCCACTTCTCCCTACAACACAGGAGAAAAACCTAGCCCATCTATGGAAGAACAGAGCAAACAGTCACCATTACCACAGCATATATGAAAATAGAAGATCAAAAATTGTAGTGGACATTGAAAAACTAGATGAGTAGGTGCAAGCTGTGAACACCAGGATACCCGAAGGAGATTGCACCACAGAATGTCACAGGCATTCTACCACAGAAGTTCACACTATGAACCCAGGGAGCCAGAACAGATCAATTTAAGAAGCTGAGGCTAACAAGAAGAGTCTCACAAATAATGGGAAGACAAAGAAACAATCCCCAAATGAAAGAAAAGGAGTAAGCCTCAGAAAGAATGCTAAATGAAATAGAGGCAACTCAACTATCAGATACTGAGTTCAAAGCAATGGTTATAAGGAAGCTCAATGAGCTCACAATGAACTACTGAAACTACAGGGAAACTATAATGAACTCACTGCAAACTATATCAACATGAAAAAGAAAACAGAAACTCTCAACAAGGGCCAAGAGGAAATGAAGAATATAATTTCTGAACTGAAGAGCACAGTAGAAGGAATCAAAAGCAGGATTGATGAAGCAGAAGATCAGATCAGCAAATTGGAGGACAAAGTTGAAAACACCACTCAGAAATAGGAAGAAAAGGAAAAGAGGCTCAGAAAGAATGAAGAGGGATTAAGGGAAATGCAGGACAATGTGAAACGTAATAATAACCATATAATAGAAATACCAGAAGGAGAAGAAGAAGAGCAAGGGATAGAAAACCTGTTTGAAAAAGTAATGATGGAAATCTTCCCTAATTTGATGAGAGAAAAGTCACACAAATCCAGGAAACACAGAGAATCTCCTGAAACCCAAAGTGGCCCACTTTGAGACACATCATAATTAAAATGACAAAATTCCAAGACAAAGAGAGAATCTTAAAGGGAGCAAGGGAGAAACAGGAAGTAACATACAAGGGAGCCACAATAAGGCTCACAGCTGACTTCTCAATGAAAACACCCCAAGCCAGAAGAGAATGGCATGAAATATTCCAAGTAATGAGAACCAGAGGCCTGCAACCAAAGCTACTTTAACCAGCAAGGCTCTCAATCAAGACAGAAGGCCAAATAAGGAGCGTCCAAGAAGTCTAAAAGAATACACCTCCACCAAACCAGCTCTGCAAGAAATGCTAAAGGGACTGCTTTAAGGAAGGCAAAGAGAGAGACAGAGAGGAACATAGGCACAAAAATGGCAATGAGTAAGTATCTATCAATAATAATCTTAAATGTAAATGGATTAAATGCTCCAATCAAAAGACATAGAATAGCTGAATGGATAAGAAAGCCTGACTCACACATATGCTGCCTACAAGACCCACCTCAGGACAAAAGACCTACACAGACTGAAAGTGAAGGGCTGGAAACAAATTTTCCAAGCAAATGGACAGGAAAAACCCCTTACAAAAACAACAACAACAACAACAAAACAACGGAGTAGCAATACTCATATCAGACGAAATAGACTTCAAAACAAGGGCCACGAAGAGAGACCCAGAAGGTCACTTCATAATACTCAAAGGAAGAATCCACCAAGAAGACATAAACACTGTAAATATATATATGCACCCAACACAGGAGCACCCAAATACATAAAGAAAATCTTGGAGGACTTCAAGAAAGATACTGACAGCAACACAATTACAGTGGGGGATTTTAACACTACTATATGGACAGATCTTCCAAACAAAATATCAACAAAGATATTGTGGCATTGAACAATGCCCTAGAGGAAATGGACTTCACTTATATATACAGGGCCCTCCATCCCAAAGAAGCTAAATACACATTCTTTTCAAATGCACATGGAACATTTTCAAAGATAGACCACATGATAGAACACAAAACAAGCCTCAACAATTTCAAGAAAATTGAAATCATACCAAGCATTTTCTCCGACCATCAGGGACTGAAACTAAAAACCAACCCAAGGGAAAAAACCCAAAACACTCAAAATCATGGAGATTGAATAGCATGCTATTAAACAGTGATTGGGTCAAGAATGAAATTAGGGAAGAAATCAAAAAGTTTCTGGAAACAAAGGAAAATGAACTCACAACCCAAAACTTATGGGACATAGGGAAGGTAGTTCTGAGAGGGAAGTTCATAGCAATACAGGCCTACCTAAAAAAGATAGAAATATTTCAAACAACCTAACCCTATGCCTACAAGAACTCGAGGAACAACAATAAAGACATCCCAGAGCAAGTAGAAGAAAGGAAATAACCAAGAACATAGCAGAATTAAATGACATAGAGACTAAAAGCACAATTCTAAGGATCAATGAATCCAGGAGCTGGTTCTTTGAGAAGATAAACAAAATCGACAAGACTTTAAGCAGACTCATCAAGAGAAAAAAGAGAAAGAATCCAAATAAACACAATCAGAAATGAAAGAAGACAGATTACAACTGACACCACAGAAATACAAAAGGATTGTAAGAAATTACTACAAAGAACTGTATGCCAAGAAATTTGAAAACCTAGATGAAATAGACAAATTTCTAGAAAAATATAATCTTCCAAAACTCAATGAAGAAGCAGAAAGCCTGAAGAGATTAATAACAGAAGATGAAATTCAAGCAGTAATCAAAAAACTCCCGACACACAAAAGCCCCGGACCAGATGGTTTCACAGAATTCTATAAAGCATTTAAGGAAGAGCTAACCCCTATCCTTCACAGACTATTCCAAAAAATCCAAAATGATGGACGACTCCCAAACTTTTTTTAAGAAGCCAACATCATCCTAATCCCAAAACCAGATAAAGACACAACAAAGAAAGAAAACTTCAGGCAATATCGCTGATGAACACTGACGCTAAAATCCTCAACAAAATATTGGCAAACCACATCCAACAATACATTAAAAAGATCATACACCATAACCAAGTGGGATTCATCCCAGGGATGCAAGGATGGCTCAACATTAGCAAATCAGTAAATGTAATACATCACATAAACAAAAGCAAAGACAAAAAACACATGATCATATCAATGGATGCAGAAAAAGCATTTGATAAGGTACAGCACCCATTTATGATAAAAACACTCAGCAAAGTGGGAACACAGGGAGCATCCCTCAACATAATAAAGGCCATATATGAGAGACCTACAGCCAATATCATACTCAATGGGCAAAAACTAAAATCTTTTCCACTAAGATCAGGAACAAGACAAGGTTGTCCACTTTCACCACTTCTATTCAAAATAGTATTGGAAGTTTTAGCCACAGTGATCAGACAAGAAAAGGAAATAAAAGGCATCCAAATCAGAAAGGAGGAAACAAAACTGTCATTGTTTGCAGATGACATGATAGTGTACACAGAAAGTCCTATAGACTCTCTCATAAAACTGCTTGAGCTAACAAATGAATTTGGCAAAACAGCGGGATACAAAGTCAATATCCAGAAACCAAAGGTATTTTTGGACACAAACAATGATACAATAGAAGCAGAAATCAAGAAAAAAATCCCATTCGATATAGCAAAAAGAAAAATAAAATACCTAGGAATAAACCTAACCAAAGAGGTAAAAGACCAATTTTCAGAAAACTACACAACACTGAAGAAAGAAATGAAGGAAGACACAAACAAGTGGAAACATATACCATGTTAATGGATTGCAAGAATTAACATTATGAAAATGTCCATGCTACCCAAAGCAATTTACAGATTCGATGTAACACCTATTAAAGTACCAATGGCATATTTCACAGACATAGAACAAATACTTCGAAAATTTATATGGAACCACAAAGGACCCTGAATAGCTGCTGCAATTTTGAGAAAGAAGAGTAAAGTAGGAGGGATCACAATACCTGATACCAAACTGCATTACAAGGCAACTGTAATCAAAACAGCCTGGTAGTGGCATAAAAACAGGCACATGGACCAGTGGAACAGAACAGAGAGCCCAGAAATAAACCCAAGTCTCTATGGTCAATTAATATTAAACAAATAGGGCAGCAACATAAAATGGAGTAAAAATAGCCTCTTCAACAAATGGTGTTGGGAGAACTGGACAGCTATGTGCAAAAAAATGAAACTTGAGCACCAATTTACACCATAAACAAAAATAAATTCAAGGTGGATAAAAGATTTAAATTTAAGTCACGACACCATTAAAGTCCTAGAGGAGAACATAGGCAGGAAAATCTCAGAAATTTCATGCAACAACATTTTTCTGATATGTCCCCTAGAGCAAGGGACATAAAGGAAAGAATACACAAATGGGATCTCATCAAAATAAAAAGCTCTGCACGGCTAAAGAAAACATATTAAAATAAAAAGAGAACCAACTGTATGGGAAAACATATTTGCCAATGATACCTCAGACAAAGGTTTAATCTCCAAAATATATAAAGAACTTACACAACTCCACTCTAAGAAGATAAGCAAACCAATTAAAAAATGGGCAAAGGACTTGAACAGACACTTCTCTAAGGAGAACATACAGAGGATCCAGAGACACATGAAAAGATGCTCAATATCGCTAGCTATAAGAGAGATGCAAATTAAAACCACAATGAGATATCACTTCACACCAGTGAGAATGGCCATCATAAACAAAGCAACAAACAACAAGTGTTGGAGAGGTTGTGGAGAAAAGGGAACCCCAGTGTACTGTTGGTGGGATTGCAGACTAGTATAACCACTATGGAAAACAGTATGGAATTTTCTCAGAAAACTTAAATTGGATCTGCCTTTTTACCCGGCAATTCCACTGTTAGGATTATATTCTAAGAACCCTGAAACACCAATCCAAAAGAACCTATGCACCTAATGTTTACAGCAGCACAATTTACAATAGCCAAGTGCTGGAAGCAACCTAGGTGCCCATCAGTAAATGAACGGATCAAAAAACTATGGTACATTTACACAATGGAATTCTATGCAGTAGAAAGAAAGAAGGAGCTCCTACCCTTTGTGACAGCATGGATGGAACTGGGAAGCATTATGCTAAGCGAAATAAGCCAGGAGGTGAAAGACAAATACTGTATGATCTCACCTTTAACAGGAACCTAAACAACAAAACAAAGAAACAAGCAAAATATAACCAAAGACACTGAAATAAAGAACAGACTGATAGTGTCCAGAGGGGAGAGGGGAGGGAATTTCAGGGCAAAAGGCGAAGAGTTTAGAGAAACAAGTATAAAGGACACATGGACAAAAACTAGGGGGGCTAGAAATGGGAGGGAGGTGGGGAGGCCTGGGGGGTGGGCTGGGATGGGAGTAAAAGACAGAAAAGTGTATTTGAACAACAATTAAAATAAAATTTAAAAAAAGAAGAAGAAATGGGGAAAAAAAGACATACTTTCTTTTCCTTTTCTTAAAAAAAAGTTTTTATATAAGTTTTCTTAGGAATGCAAATAGTGTATATAGTAGAAAAGATTGCTGTGAAACTGTTAGGAAAAATGTCTCTAAACAACCTGTTAATTTATTATATTGTTTTATAATACACTGGTGTCATGCCCATTATAATGCTGAATCATGAGAAGTTCATGTATACTGCATGTTACATGTAAAAAAGGCAGAAGTATAGAACATTGATAAGACTGCTAACAACAATAATAAGGATAAATTTTGTCTAGAAGTTCATATGGTAAGCCCACTTTCTCAACAATGTTGGCTAAAATGATAATGTACTATCTATAGTATTAAAATGAAGTCAAATAATTTGTTTTTGATGGAGATCACTAATGACTACTGTTAGTGAATTTGACAGAAACTTCTGAATCCTCTTATTGCATCTGACAATGGTAAGTCATTTCCTCTTCTGACCTCTCTGGATAGTCCTTAGTTTCCTTTTAGACCTCTCTTAAAGAACCTTTACCTACTCCAAGGTGTATTCCCAGAGTTCTATTTTCCTATGTATTCTTCCTTGGTAAATTCATCTACCCCTGGTGGCTTTAATCACATTACTGTACACTGATTTTTACCGAATCTACATGAGAAAGCCAAATGATCCAGACCCATATAACAATAGCCTATCAGATATTTTCACTTGGATGGCTAACAGACACAACAGATCCAGCACACCCTCTCCATTCTTGACTAGCAACTTCTCTTTTATTCCAGGGTGAGTGGTACTACTGCTTGCTCAGTCATCCAAGCCAGACACTGCGACTACTTTCCCTTTCTCTCATCAGGTCGTTTTACTCTACTTTCTAAGTAGTCAGAATCTACCCACTTTCAATCTCCACTAGCATTATCCAAATTCATTTTGTAATTTCTCACAACATTTCCACCACAGATTATTATTTGACTGTTTTTCTACCTTCCAATCCAGCTTTCACATCACCAAAACTGAGATTTTTCTGAAATGTGATCATATCTGTTTAAAAATTGTTAAGGGCTTCTTGGGGTTTTTCAGGATAAAGTCCAAACTTCTAAACATGAAAAGAATCCTCACTGTCTGTTCCATGCTCATCTCTTAAGTCTTACTTGTTGCTGTGTCCCCATCCCCTGCTATTAATCACTAGCCATATGAAATGCTTAGAATACCAGAGTGCACCATACTATTTTCTAGGTGTTTCCATACACTCTTTGCTGATTGCCCCCTACCCTTGTCATGCTAACTCTCCCTTGCATTTCTGAATTAAGTTCAGGTATTATCTCTTTAAAGAAGCCTTTCTAAAAACTAGCACAGCCACTCTGGCTGGTGTGGCTCGGTTGGAGCATCGTCCTGTGCACTAAAAGGTTGCAGGTTCGATCCCCATTTGGGGATCCTACAAGAGGCAGCCAATTGGTGTTTTTTTGTCCTTTCTCTCTCTCCCCTTCCTCTCCCTCTAAAAGCAATGGGGGGGGAAAAAAGTCCTTTGGCAAGGGTTAAAAAAAAAAAGCCCCACACCAGATCCATCTCTCTACACAATGCACACTAAATCTGGGTAAGGTATACTATATGCTTCCTCAGTATCTAGTGTAAATACCTACTAGAAGCCTAATCTCATGGTAGAAAAATACCTACTACAATACATTAGAAGTTTCTTGAGGGAAGAATTCATGTCTTTTTGTCTTTTTTCCTCCATGCCCAGCATGATGAGTTGTACACAGCAGATGTTAAATAAATGTTTCAGTAGTGAAAGGTAAATTAAGAGGGATTCATCATCTTCTAGAATAAAAGTCATGGGACTTAAAAAAATTATTCTCATGGCTTGAGAAACTTTCTTGCTTATTTTTTGGTTCACTGTTTGAAAATAAAGTCTATGTTAAATTTGACTAAAAGAAACTAGGATGTTACTGAACTGACATAAAGGGATGAGTGAGTGTGTTTCAGTAAAATGTCAAAGCTAAAAATTTTACCTCATTATTAGCTAATTTATTCTACACTCTCAGTTCTTAATTAGGACAGACCTTTACACAGGTCTGCTCTGGTGAGCAGCCACTCTGGAAATGCGACATACCGCCTCTTTGCCTCTGGCATATTTTAGCTCCTCATTCCACAACTGCTGCTGTTCATCCTCCAGGTCCTTAGTTAGTTTATTAATTGTCTGCTGTAATTCATTTCTTTCATGATTTATTCTTTCAATGTCTGCAACTGAGTACTTCTGGTTGTCAACAATATTCTGTAGTCGAACATTCTCCTGTTTCATTGTTTCACATTCTAGTTCTGCATTGAGAAAAAGAAAACAAATTTGTTAAATTCTTACAATTCCTAGAAAGAAATCATGCTATTATTTAATATACTCAATTAAGGTATCTAAATTTTCAAGTTATATAGATGTATAATTTTCTCTTTTGTATAATTCTGTTTGATCCCACCTTGTTGATAACATTCTTGAAAGATGACAAAGTTTTCCATGAACCTTATTTCCCTATTGCCATGCTATGGTTTTCAGAAAGTGCTACATGAAAAAAAATATTACCCCACACGATTATGATTAATAAGTGTTTACACTTAAAAGGGCTTTTAATACTCCTACACGATTTTCTGCAATAAGCTAGAAAACCCACAAATTTTTCACATAAAAATATTTGTATTAAAATATATCAGTTTTTTATTTTATTACTTTTCAGTGGTTTTATCAGATATTAAGTAACCATGGTGATTAGGCTCTTGCTTTGTCTATTTACCAAAATTTGTAATCAAGAGTGACTATATTGTACCAAGAAAATATGGGACAAACAGCAAATCGTTATGCAAAGAGGAAGAGAAGTTATAAAATTTGAAATATTTTGGGTTATATAGCATAGTGTTTTCTAACCTTCTGTGACTCATTGCTTACAAAGAGTATGGCAGCATTTTTGAGCAGGCTGGGATAAATGGGTGAGGATGCTCATGACCCAAGGGGCCAAGAGAAATCATCCTGAGGGCTGACAGTATCCAGATATTGGCTTTGTTACAATCCATTTGTAGCACTGCTGTTGGAAAGCACTGTACCTGAACTCATAATAAATTAATGGTTGGCTTAAGTAAAATTCTATATAGGAATCTGCACAAAATAATATGAAACATATATAATATCTATACAGTTTAAATATGTTTAATTCACTTTTGGACATGAATGGCTTTAAATAATTAAGAAAGTTAAAATACCCAGAATGAAATAGTCTTAGATTAAGAGTTGTCAAATTATTGTCTCAAACTAAATCACTCTGGGATGGCAAATGATTGCTAAAGTACTTCTCTTATTTCGTTTACAATTATTGGAAAAAAATTCTTACACAAAAAATAGGAAGTAGGAAAACTCTCTTGATTAAATGCCAATAAAGAAGATCAAGTACTAATATTATAAAGTATTGATTTAATTGCATGACAAACATTGCTATAGTAAGAAATTGGTCCATGATTCCTTGTCATGATGGAGAACAAATACCAGGGACCAAGTGTAAACAAACTATTCAAAGAGTTGGTTTAGAGCAAATCTAATATTGTATACAATCATTGATTTTTTGGGGGAAATAATGATTCAGCCAATTCCCTTGATAATTATTATCCCTGACACATGGTCAATATTCCATAGGGTAGGAGTTAAATAAGGATGACAGCTAAGCTGGGAGGTGAGGAAGTTAGGGGCTGGAAGGACTGAGTGAAAAGGTAAAAAGACTCACGAACATGGACAACATTGCAGAGATTGTGGGCTAGGTGGAGGGGGATAAAAGGGGGACTAAATGGTACTGGGAAAAAAAAATACAATAAAACACAACAAAAGGAAACAAAAAGAATTAAATCGAATGTCCTAAGGACAATCTACACAACTCCTATGTGGGACATACAGAGCCTGTAAAATCCAAAAAAGAATAAAATCAAAGAAGGCAAAGACCTGGGAAAATAGTACAGTAGGTCCATGTAGTTATTTATTTTGTAACTGCCATCCAGGGGCCCTGCGATTTGTAGATACCTTCCTTTGCTCTCTTTCTGGCACTAGAGAGTTTATGAAAACAAGGTTAGAAACACACAGGCTATAAATAAGCTTTCTGTAGTTGGGCTCCTGCTTCATTAAGAATTATAGTACTTGCATCTTTTCATTGTGTTTTCTGTCAGCTTAAGCTGCTGAGTAGAAGGTAGTGATAGAGAATAAGAGAATTATAGTACACTGATGCTAGCAGTAGTTTAAGAATCTGGCTATTAATTGGAAGGTGGAATAGATCATGTATTTATTTGTAGGCAGCATATGTTCTTAGATTAGGTCCCTCTTGGTTTCAAAAAGCCAGCTGCCTGAAAACATGTTAGAAGATATAGTAGCATGAAGAATGGCCAGCCAAAGATATGAAGCCCTAATCCCTGGAGTGTGTAAACATTGCCTTCTTTGGAAAAGGGGAGTTTTTGCAGAGGTGATTAAGTTTAGTATTTTGACAAGAGATTACCCTGGGTTATCTATGTGGGCCATAAATGTTATCAAAAATGTCCTTAAAGATAGAGGCAAAGAGAAACTAACACAGACATGAGAGGCAGATGCACAGAGAAGGCAATGTGAAAATGGAGGCAGAGATTGCAGTGATACGGCCACAAGCACTGGAATGCCATCAGACACCAGAAGCTGGAAGAGGCAAGGAATGGATTTCCCTCCATGGTCCTTGGAGCAAGTTGGTCCTGCTGGATTTTGAACTTCTAGCCTTTAGAACTGTGAATGAATAAATTTCTGTTGTTTTCAGCTACCAAGTTCATGATAATTTGTTATAGCAGCTTCAAACAACTAATATAGAAAGCACTGAAAACTTGGTACCCTATTAGATATTTACCATTAAAGGAAAAAAGATATGGATGATGAAGGTGTCTTTCTATATGTGATAAAATCCCACACACAAGTCCCCTTCCCAATCTGAATGACCTCTTTTAGCATTAGTTGTGCTTACCTATTCTAGAAATATCTTCCTCGAGACCATTCAATTTCTGGTCAAGAATGGCTGAATGAGACTCCAAATTGCTCATGTATGCCTGATATTTTTGAACATCTGCTTGTAAAGATGCTTTCAGTTTTCTCAATGTCTCTAAACGATTCTTTAAAAGAAAAAATATTAAATTAGTTATTCTCATCACTAATAATTCCATACTTTACTTGAAAGTAAAACAATATTATTTAAATTCATCTTAGAGAAAGGTAAATAAGAGTTTCTCTTTCATTTTTAGAGGGAGTCAGAGGACTTTGCTATTATTACGTAATTAAGATGTACTTTTTACCAAGTCAGGTTGGGACAGAAAATGTCAAGAGCCAGAGCGAAAAAGCACAAACATTTAAAATCTGATATTTTACAGAACAGTCCAGATACTTCAATAATACACAAAATAAAATTAGATATCTGAATACTATCATTTAGCTTTAAGAAAGTTCCTAGAATATAATATACATAATAGAAACCCTTTTATTACCATTTTTTTCCACTGCAAAACTCAGGGCTCTTGTAAATAATACTCCCTAGAGGTGTATAACATGGGACCTAATTCAAAATCCTTTTGGTCTTATGTAAATATGTAAGACTCTTTCATCATACTGTGAACATCATTAGTCCAATACTGACAGAACACCAGGGAAAACAAAGCCTCAGAGACACCAAACATGTTTTCATTGGGAGTTCTGTCCTATAAAAAAAATCCTACTTTCAACAAATATATTTTGTTAATCTATTTTTTAAAAAATTTTAATAGCTGGTATTCAGTAAGGAGACCCCATGGTCCAAAAGAACTAAGTAAATGTATAAACTTATTGAAGATAAGCATGTTTACTAACCGGTTCTTTTTCTCTTTCTTGTTCCAATCTTGCAATCTGTTCATTGAGTGCTTTGTTTTTTGCTGCTAATGATTCCAGCTTGAAAGCATCTACATTAAATAAATCCTCTGGAGACAAAACCCAAAAACTTTGTAAGATCTCAAATCTGTCTAGAACACTGTTCCCCAGGGTTTTCCCATCGCTCTCTCACTTCCTTTTGGTCTCTGGCAAAACACTGTCAGTAAAGGACATCCACCCTCTCTAAAATAGCTAATGGTTCTCCTTTCTCCACTACACTCTCTACCTCCTTGTCCTGCTTTATTTTTCTGCATAGTACTTGGCACCATTGACTTATAGTTGTTCATTTGATTACTGTCTCTAAAAGAATATAAGCTCATAGGGCAGGAATTTTTATCAATTATTCACTACTGTATCCTCAGTGCCTAATGGTGGCTGGCATAGAATAGGTATAGAATAAGTAAATACAATTTACGATGAACTAATTTTAAAAAGAAATACCAAAGGACTCAACAGATGCTTTTTGTATTAGATCACTATGAATTTTCTTTTTTTAAAACATCATTTACCTTGCTCCCTTTCTCATGTGGAGAAGCTGAAATTACCCTCATCACTCTTTAGGAAGGTGCATCCCATGGGAACATAAAGGGAACTTTCATCTTTTCTGCTAATAGTGGCAAGGCAATATTCTCCTGTTCTGATTGATTTTATTGTCTTTGGAGAAGGAGCTATACACAAATTGATCCATTTTACCTACTGCTCTGGCATTTTATATACAAGGCTATTTCAATAAAAGAAACAAAAATGTAAAACTATGCCGCTGGAACATTTTAGAGTTAGCCAGTAAGTACTGAATGTTACTAGATTATAGCAGAGTGGAAACATTTTTCTTTGGAAACATAATGGTTAACTTTCTGTCACAAATATTGAAGGTGACCTTAGGTCTTTTGACTAATTTGTGCTTTGATTCTCAAATAGTAAAGCAAGGGTACCACAGAAATATGCTCCAAGAGGAATAACACTTGCTGACTATCTTCTGTGCTCCTGGTAGTATGTTTCAACTTTATGTATGGCCATCTAATCTCACAAAGCTTTGGTAACAAGTAGTTTGTTAAGGTCATATAGCCAGTAAGGGGCAATGCCTAAGGTCTGACTCCAACATCCGTATTCTTTTTGCTCAATTTTTACTTCTCTTTGCAAAAAAAAAAAAAAAAAAATCAATGAAAACAAAACTCAGTAAGCATCCAAATGAATTTAAAGTGAGTATCTTATATAAACACTGGGTATGGCAAGCCAAGCTACAACTCCATGGGCTGAGTTAAATAAAAAGTAAACACTAGGAATGAGAACACTTACTCAGCTTTGACTGCAACTCTGCGTTCATCTCCTCAAAGCTGTCAGCACCAGTCATGAAACTCTCATAGCATTTTATGGTGTAGTCCAAAAACAACTGATTGGATTAAGCAGATTTAAAAACAAAGCCATGATTCTCTGTTTAATTTGTTTTACCTTTCTAAGTGGAACTTTAAATTTGAATTAAAAAAAAAAAAAAGTCCAGAATACTAAATAGCTATATGAACTCCTATATAAATGAGACAAACATGGGGTATATCATTAATTATGCTGCACAAATTTAGCCTGGTACTTCTAATACTGAGTACGAAAAAAATAAAACTTAAATTTGGATAAGGGTGATATTTAATAAACAGTAAAAAAACTCCATACATTCAGAATGTGAGACAGTCACACAAGGAAGCTTATTAATTCATCACAAAATTTGGAATTCAACAAAAATTGCACAAACTTGTTTATATTTAGGGATAATCTACTTTATTAAAAATTAAGTAAATCACTAATCATGTAAGTCCAATTAAACTCACAAGGCTTAGTTGTGAAAACCAGAAATTACCGCATTTTGCTGTGTATGACGCGCTCCCACATTATAGATGGGATTATTGTACCCATGGCATGTAATCATTACACCCATGAATAAGGCACATTCCTTATTTTTCCCTCAAAAATTTGGGCAAATATGCATTTCCATGCATATTATACATGGAAAAATAATGTAATTAATAAAGGCTATAATTTCACTGTAACTGTGGATTAAAAAATGGCATGATTAGTAGAGATCTAAACAGTAGAATACTATTATTCTTAATATTTATCTAGGAGAAAGTAACACAATATTTTGCAATTATAAGCTGTTTTGGTCATGGACAGTGAATAATTTGTTAGGGGGTAAGGATGGCTGATCAGAATTTTTCCACAGCCTAGATAAAGTAAGTATCGCTCAAGAGAAACCAATTCCCTTTGCACTGATTCGGTGCTTTACTAAGCAACCTTCTTATTACTTAATTGAAAGGAGTATTCTGAATAGGCAGTATACATATTCCTCTAACTAAAAAAGTGTATCACTGATGGTAAATCAATACATTTTCATTTTACAGCAGATAAGTCTCTTGTGAATTCAATGAGAATGAATCAGTTTTCTTAAGCTCAGTCAATTTTTCAGATTTAAAAAAAAAACAAGAATTTCTGGACCCCACAAAGCAGAAGTTCAGAATCTGTTCAAGTTAAATGATAACTTTCTAAAAATAGCATGTCATGGTTAACAAAGTGTTCCCTACATTGACATCTGAAATAATAGCTAGAACAGCAAGAATAACTTTTACTGGTTTAACCTTCAAAATAAATGCCAAAATTTTAATGTTTATTAAGTGTTGTGTGTACATTTGGGGGATATATGAGGTATAAATAAATCTAGTCTAGTACACACTGCAGCTTGAGAACAGGGATCACAGATGAAGTAGAAAAGGGGCACAATTTTTGTTAACAACAATAACAACAACAAAAGTAATGATATCATGCCAGTCCGTTGATACATCTTTGAATTATTTCCCAGGTAATAATAAAAAAGGTGAGTCTGAAGTTATTTCCACTTTCTTTTTATGAGAAGTGCTCCAAAGAGTAAAGATAAGAATTAAAGCAGATAATGGTATAATGGGTTTTCTTCTTAGGTCCCTGCATGGTGAAAGGTGTTTTACATATGCCACAGGACCTTCATGTTTAATCTCAACATTATAAATTTATTTCTTAGAGCTGTTTGCTCCATTTAGAAACACGAGTTTGTGTGTTTTAGGAAATAGGGTTGGGCTAGTTATACATTTTGGGCTCCAATAAAGTGTGGTTTGGAAACCAATTTCAATGATGTTTACTTACGGAAGTGGTAACTTGAAGTGGCAATATGCCTAACTAAAAAGGCCAAAATAAAAGAAACAAACAAACCCCCAATATTTTAATATCCAATCTATTATGCTTTGTACTGACAAAAAATTATATTAAAATAATGCTGCCTTACTGAAGTCTTCATTCTAAGAGACAGAAAGGAAAAGAAATGTTATATGTATACATTAGTAAGAACATGTCATGATCTAATTCCAATTGCCTTGTATTTTTTATTTACGTAGTTAACATTCCCAAGTCACTTTGCCTAATTTCAGGAAGTTACAATGTCACTCTAATAAATCCATTGACTGATATTTAAAAAATCATTTTTAGAAGTTTTTTTAGGAAGCAAAATGTCAATCTCTACAAAAGAACATATTAATTTCAATAGTGATGTATTTAGTTAATAAAATCAAGATAACACTAATGTTTATGGTAATGAGAGGTACCTTATTATACATAATTCCATCTTCAGTTTCTTCTCCCCAAGGCTGGCCATCATCAAATAAAGGTGAACTTTCTTTCATGGCAGTATGTAACTAATTGGTACACAATCAACATATTAAGTTTATGAGAAAAACATAGAGCTCTCACGTTTTGTCAATTGTTTTTAGTGTCATTTTAAGATGCATTTACATCACCACCTGCTTGAAAGTCTCTTCAGAGATTATTGTACTGAGCCTTAAAATATAATCCTTTAGATATTTTAGTAACTAAATCCCTTAGGATTAAAAAAGGATGGGTTTCATATTTAGTTCTATAGAGAAAAATATGCTGATCTTTACTCTATTAAACCACTGAAAACATATACACACATTTTAATGTAATTCTGAGAATCCACAACATAAAAGGTGAACCAACAATAATTATTTCTCTTTTATATGAACTCAATTTTGGTGCTCAAATGTTATCTACTGACTCCTTCAGTATGTATGAATATGAAATTTAGATTGAATTTTACAATATAGAATTCTTCATAAATACAATTGTTTAAACTTCAAAGTGATTATAGGTAATAAATTGTAACAAAACATTCAGATTTTTATAATTCCTAAGCTAAAGGACAAATGGCCAAAGGGTTTTAATGCATAGAAATTCCCTTTGGAATCTTGTTTTTATAATTTGTTTTAAAAATATAACTTGTCATAATAAAATAATTAGAAACTTTAAATGAAATTGCTATAAAATGTGAAGGTATAAATGTATACCTAATATAAGGATCATTAAGCTTCTAAGAAAAGGACTATGCATTAAGAGAGTAAGAAAAGGTGGTTTCTGCTGAAAATATTTCATTAAATTTTCTTATCATAGCAATTAAAACAAGATCCCTGAGTGGGGAGTCTCTCATTGATTCTTAAATTGCTATAGTTCAGTTTTACCACCTCAAACAAACCAAGATAGGAAGGAGATTTCAACTTAAATAATAGACTTGGAGGCATCTCAAGAGCTCACTTGCTGATAGAAGCCACAATAGGTATTCCAGGACTTCCTGCATTGACTATGAACATGCTAACTCCCAACCAGGTAACAATGATGTAAGTTGCTCAGGCAAGCCCCCCCCCCCCCCCCACAAGGTAGTGTTAGAGCAACAACAGGAGTGTTTGGTGGTGGGAGCAGAGAGGTGATTATCCAATGTCCATGGGTATCACTGAGGAGAAACAAATTGAATACATAAATGCTATATAAAGTTCAATAAAACTTGGGTTGTATTAATGAACTATGATATTGGATTTCTACTCTAATTTTAACAATTGGGTGTGTTGAAGGTAGTAGAATGTCTACTGGGTCAAAAATCCATCCACCCAGTGCCTGACCACATTTAGTTAAGAGCTGGCTGATGGGCAAGAGAATGCTGAGGCAATAATATTGGTTTTAAGGACTTTAACACCTCTAAGGCAAAAAACTCAGAAGCTATAAAAATAAACTGTATTAGATTGATAAAAATTTATGCTTCTGAATAGTCAAAACATAGCACATAAATCAAGAGGGAAAAGGGAAAATATTTGTACCATATACATAAAAGCTAATTCCTCCAAATTGACTATTTTTTAAAAAGATTTTTTTAAATTTATTTTTAGAGAGGGAAGGGAGGGAGAAAGAGAGAGAGAAACATCAATGTGCAGTTGCTGGGGGCCATGGCCTGAAACCCAGGCATGTGCCCTGACTGGGAATCGAACCTGTGACACTTTGGTTCGCAGCCCGCGCTCAATCCACTGAGCTATGCCAGCCAGGGCTCAAATTGACTATTTTTGATATACAAAATGGTATTTACAAATCAGTAAGAAAACAAGGCAAAAGACACGAATAGACAGTAATAATGTGAAAAATATTCAAGTTTCAAAACAAAAAATACAAATATGAAAATTATCAATGATTAAAATCAATAAGTTTAATACATAAATTCAATATATAAAGGTTTAAACTAAGAGCACAGCAAGTAATAAAATACCAAATGCGCCAAAAATATGCACCAGTAGGTTATGACAAACCATAATTGCTTTAATATACATATTAAAAATAGCTATTTTCACCTTCCAAATGGGTTAAGATTTTAAAGCAATAGTGCCTATGCTTTAAATAGTACTATGCTTTAATAGTGCTAATGATATGGGAAAAGTGGTATGCTCATACACTGTTGAGGAGCTTTTATGTAGTGCAAGTTTTCTGGAGAGGAATCTATCAACATGCATCAAAAGCTCAAAAAATATACATAATTTTCACAGCAAAAATGCACCTTTAAAACTATATTTCAAGGAAATGTTTTAAGTTGTTGGATATGGGTACATCACTCTCTGTGTATGCTTTTCTGCATTTTCCACACTTTTTGCAATAAATATGAATGTTAATTTAGAAAAGGGAAAAAAAATAAATGTTATGGGGGAAATAATCTCCTACTGACTTTGAGCTGTAAAACCTCATGAAAACAAAGAATCTCCTTGCAAATGTGATACTTCCTACCCTCACCTCTGGAACCATGATTAATAGTTTGAAGAGTTTAAAATCAAGTACACTTTGAAAAATGAAACTGATGCAGACTTTGAGATAATTGGCAAAAGCATGATTAGGAGAAACAGAAATACCTTGAGGGGAAAAAATGTTTTCTATGTATACATTTAAAAATGAAAAATCAAATACCTTGATGCAGTCTATTAGCCAAACCAAGGCTGCCACAATGTGAGGCCATGTATGAGGGGCCCCCACTGTATACATGGAGCTTTTGGATATTGCAAAAGGATACCTATGAAAAATTAGAAAAAATAAGTTAACTTAATGTTAATTTTGTAAAAGTAATGTCTAAATTAAGAAGAAATTTCTTCTTAATTAGAAACTTCTTACTTAGAAACTTCCATGTATACATTAACAGTCTCCACTTGTTTTTAGAAGATCTATGCTGAGATTCTGTCCTTAGTCTCTTACCCTCCAAGGATTCTGTGTACTTTTTGGTTTCTTCTCTGAAGATTTCTGTGTATACATATCCCCTAAGCTGCAGAGTTTGATTTACAACTAATATGCTGGACTTGTTACCTAAAAGATCATCTGTTCTCTCAAATTAAATGTACCTTGAAAAGACCACATACACACAACCCTTCATCCTCAAATCCATTCCTCCCCCTGTGTTTACACAGCTTCTTAACTTCATCTCACTCCATTTTCACCAGGCCTTCAATCCTGTCTTTTTTGTTTTTATGAACTCTGTGGTAACCAGCCCATACTATCTATTTCTTATCACTTCTGTAGTTGAGGGCCTTCTGATCTATCAGCTGTAGTTAGGTAAAAACCTCCAAAGAGTCATTCAAGTTACCCTACATATATTGCCCATAGTGACCATATTAAAATATATTATTTCTCTTAACTCAAAATCTTTATAGATTTATTAAGTTTGATTCTTCTGTGTTCCAACATTCTGTCTAGACTAATAAAAATAACATACGAACCCAAGCCCTTTGAAGATTCTTGGAACCTCTTCTTCAAACTTTGTGTCAGGAAATTCATACGAAGGGCACAGGAAGCCATAAAGAAAAGTGAAGATCTTTAGGAAGTCTTTAACGGAAGGAGCTTGTAGAGATTTCATGGATACACTATATGCATAACCATTTTCTGTAAGAAACTATAATAATTTTTATGAAACATCAAACATTTTATAATAGAAAAATTACTGGAAAATATTTAAGGAAGCACTAACAATTTAGGCTATTTAAAATTATAAAATACCTCACAGAGTAGTCGAATACACTGTTGAATGAATGCTTTGTCATTAAGTGGTCTTGGGTCCTTGATTTTTTCAGAACAGGAAAATATACCAAATTGACTATTCCGGGATCCAGGTCCACTGGTTCTGGAAACATTTTTAAAAAACGGTCAGAACTATTTCCTTCTGTGGTCAAGTCTAAATTATTTCAAGGTGATTTTATATTTTAACATAAATATCAAACATTAAAGTTCAACAATTCTTTAATTTTTATTTGAACAGAATTCTCTTCAAACAGAAAAAAAGAGCAAATAACAAAGAGTAAAGTATTAAAAAAACTCCACACACTTCTGGTGCTTTGCATTAGATCCATCCTCTAAGCATGTGCATTTTGAGTCCACTAGATCTTCTGCACAAACTGTTTTCCAAGTCTATTCAATAACTTAAGTCCCTTAGCCATTCTATTTACCCCTCCATGATAGTTCCTTCACTCCCAACCCTTTTATTTGCCACTAGTTCTTATAGAAAAACTGCGATTGAGATGTTAAGTAGGTTATGCATGCTTTTATTCATGAACACTTTAATGTCATGAAATATTATGTGTCTGATTGTTAATCTACCATAAATATATGTTGCTATATTTTACTCATAAATGGCCACAGCATATATGCTCCATTCCAAGCCTGTCTCCCAAAACAAAAACCAATTTGTTTAAATCTTTATGATGGTTTCTTTTCCTACCTATGTGGTTCAATTCAGCTCACCATTGTAGGTTATTAAATATCCTTGAAACAATTTTCTTTATTGGACAGATGGCACAAAACTGAGTTGCAGATGGCCCTGCATATCCGTGGGTTCCACATCCACAGATTTAACCAACCATGGATAGACAATATTAACACAAAAAAGTCATGTTGTTGATGACATGTACTATATATTTAGGTTTATGATGGTTGTGTCTGTACTGAACATGTACAGACTTTTTTCTCATTATTCTTCCCTAAACAATACGGTATTTACACATGTTATATTTTATTAGGTATTATAAATAATCTAGAGATTTTTAAAGTATACAAGAAGATATACTTGTGTCATATGCAAATACTATGACATTATGTGTAAAGGACTTGAACATATGCAGATTTTGGTATATGCAGGGGCTCTTGAAACAAATCTCTGGAGGATACCTAGGGATGACTGCATAATGAACTTTGCTGTAATATCTGAACTATGTTCATCAAAACTTCATTTTTCCCTGCAAGTTTGATTGCTGCATTCAAGTTCTCTCTTGCCCAGGTTCTAAAGTTCTTAGGTCCTCACAAATTTTTTCCCTTCAGAATTTGCTAATTTGAGAACCACTTTTCTTCATACTGCTATTGTTTAACCTCTAATATATAGCACTTATTCTACACAAACTATACTAATGGATATCTTTTTTGAATTTTAAGAGAAATTCCCAATCAAAATACTGTATCATTAACTTATAGTTTAAGAGCATAGGACCTAGTATGAGGGTCTGACAAACTGTCTCTAATACTAGTTGTGTGACCTTGGGTATATTAAATTCTCTGTGCTTCAATTTCCTTACTGTAAAATGGAGACAATAACAAAATCTACTCATAGTACAGTTCTGAGGACTGGTTAAAAGAGTTAATACAGATAAAGCACTTAAAACAAAGTTTGGTTTATTAAAATATTCTGCAAATGTTAGATTTTAAAATTATCACTATCTCTGAAGTTCAGCTCTGAGATAAAAGTTGTATTACAAAAATGCCTTGAGATTTTCCATCAAATGGAAGACAGTTTAACTAGGTTTCATGGCATACTTTTCCTAATGTAACACATATTTCATCTCTAAATACTTTCAAAACAATTGAACAGATTTATCTTAAAACATAGTTATATTTTGTTTTGGTGAAATGAACAGTTTATTTTCTCAATTTTGGGGTTGAACATTTCTTTTAAAAAATCAACTTTATTGAGGTGCAATTTGCTTAGAATAAAATGTTCAGTTTAATGAGGTTTAACAATGTGTACACTTGTTTAATCTCTACCACAATAAAACTGAAGATTTTTATCATCCCCAAACTCTTATACTTCTTACTAGTCAATCCTGCTCCACCTCCAGGTCAGGCAACCAACAATCTACTCTAGACAATGGTTCTCAAAGAGTGATCTAGAGATATGAGAAATCAAAACTATTTTCATAAAAAATTAAGACGTTATTTGCTGCTTTCCCTCACAAGTTTACAGTAGAGTATTCCAGGGGCTGGCTATATGATATATGATATTGTAAGAGATTAAATGCAGAAGCAGATATGAGAATTTGGCTATCTTCTATTAAGCTAGACATTGATGAGATTTGCCAAAATGTAAAACAATAATACTCTTCTTATTGAAAGTTCTGTTTTGAAATTTTTAAAATTAAAAGCATGTTATTTATGTTAACAAGTAGTGTGTTGTTATTTTAAATTGAATTAATACATGTTTTAAAGTTTTCTCAGTTTTGATTTCTAATGTAATAGATACAGCCCACAAAATAAAAGCTCTTTGGAGTCTTTAATATTTAAATGTATAAAAAAATCTGGGACTAAAATATTGAACTAGATGACGGTTCCTCCTAATTCTAAATGCTATGATTCCATAGTGTTTGAAAATTGGTATAGAATTTTTAATTAACTATTTACTGGTAACAGTGAAATAGTCTGATTATGCTGATAGGTCTCTAGCATCATCTAAAGCAGATATAATCATTTAACCATTTAAACAGAGGAGAACTCGATTAAAGCTTTCTCTTGAAAGGGGCCATGCTAATTTTTTGTACCCAGACAGCATTTAGCCCAGCTCATTGCTTTAAGAATCTCTTCATTAGAACTAATAAAAAAGATCATTACCTTTTACCAAATACAGAGACTTTTCTTTCAGATGTGGGTTTGTTTATGTTCAATTTTCCAAAGGCTGGTTTCTCCTTGCTTTAAGAAAAGGAGGAAAACAAACTTTTTAAAAATACTAGTTCAAGAAATTTTTGGAAATATGTCAGAACCAAACATCTTCCCTATTACCTATAAAAATAATTCAAAATTATGAAAACTTTCAGCAGCAATCATAACTGTTAGGCCTATTCTGTATCAGAATAGTTACACTTAATGTAAATTATCTGAATTACAGCCTAAAACATCGACAACTGGAAGCCTTTCTGCTTCCAATACAATTCAAAACAAATCTTTTGGCATATGTAACATGCAACAGCACAAATAATTTTTCTGACTTCAGAAAAAAAAATCTATAAATACTTCAAATTTCTAAAAAGAGCAGAGGTCCATACTATGTAAACCTAAGTAATTTAAAAACAGTTACCAAGCAAAACTTGTACCTTGTGTTAACAAAAAATGTTAACTTCATGGCTGAAAGTCTTTTTTAAAAAAAAGATTAGGCCACTGTTAGCACAAAAGACCAAGTCCTGGGGTATGAAGTCCGAACCCCGAGCAGCATGGCAAGGTGAAAAGACATGTCTTATGTCCTGGAGTTAAGCCAGTTTATACATCAAATGTAGGGGTGGGCAGTTGGAGTCATAAGTTGTTCCAAAAAATTTTACATTAGCTATGGACAAAACTGGGGAGAAGCTGAAGTGGAGCCAGCTCTGGGATAGCTGAGTTAGCAAGGAAGAAGTGTCCACTCCTTTGGATTGGCTGTGGGCAACAGAATGAAGTTTATGTATAAATATCAAGCAGAGGCTCTTGGGGTTCTATGGCACCTGGCTATTCTCTCTTTTAGATATTCATAAAAATAGCCACCTGGAAATTAATCCTAATCCCAACAGATATACAGAAATGTAAGTAATATTTTGTCAGAGTGGGCCCACAGCTATTAACTGGCTAATAGTTTCTTCTCTCACTCTCAGGCCACTGTAAGCTGTAATTTTATTTCAGAACTTTTTTTTCTAGTCACTTGGTATTAGAGAAGGATTGAAACAGCCCTACAGTGGCTTACTAAGAGCCCTCTCCTAATTGGAAGAAAATGACTCATAAGAGAAAACTAGTTTTTGATAGTGAGTTCTTTATCGAGCGAATCTTGAGAAAATATTTTGGAGAAGTGTTCTGTAGGCTGCTACTCAACTGCAACTTATCATCAGGGCAAAAAATACCTTTGATTGAGAAATTTGCTAGTTGAATATGCCTTAGTAAATTGAAGGTTATGGCATGGAGCCTACTCAAACAAGCAGCTCCAGAATAAAGGAGGAAAAAAGAAAGCGTGCTGAAGGGAATTAATTTTAGGAGTTGCCTTGCAAAAGACTTGACTTTGAGAATTTAAGGATCAAATGAGATAAAACACAACACCTAGTAATAGGCCCACTTTCAGCATTCATTGACCCACATTAGGTTACTACTGAGAACAGGCAAGATTCACCATGACATCACTCATTAGCTTTGTATTAACTAGCTTTAAAGATTTCTCTGTCCAAGACAATAAAGCATGAAGTACTTACTTTTGAGGGGTATAGAGGCCTTGTTTATTGAAGTCTTGGGATCTTAACTCCTGCATTGAGAGGCGGCCAGCACCGCCGGTAGATACTGAACTGCGCTTCATGCTTATGACCTGCATCCATGAATTCAGTATTAAAAAATCTTTCCCAGAGGCACTACTTAAGCACCAACTATTATCTTTATCCTCAACAGAAAGGCAGCTAATTCTATTGTTTCTTCAAGATAACCTTTTCCTGGAAGTTAATCCCCACAAACATACATGAATCTGAGCAGTTTTTTGTTAGCTGGTCCATAGCTATCAACAGGCTAACTGTTCTCTTTCTCTCACTCTCTGGCTACTGTAATTTAATTTAGAACATCCCAGAATTTTCTTGTCACCTTCTTGGTTTGAGCATCTATTTATTCTTCAATCTATGCTTCTGCATCGGCCACTTTCCCACTGTAACCCATATGCCATTCCTAATCAATACTTGAAATGTATCCTTAAGATTTAAGATTAAGACTTCCAGATGTACTTACATGGACACTAGGATGTTACACTAGTATCTCAAACACACCAAACAGTTCCTAACCCTGCTCCAATCAATTCTTCCTCCTTTCTGGTCTCCAGCCTCTCTTCTTCCCATCAGCGCCCCCCTAGGCCTTCCCCTATCCCGTGTAAAAATTTACTGGATTCCAGGAAACTAGCGTTTCTCAGATTCGGCCCAGATCTTAACACGTTAGCCTCTAAATTGCGGGCACTTGTCGCCTTCTCCCTCCACACCAGTACTGCCGCCATAGTATTAAACCGCAGTAATTATTTACCTTACTCCAGTCGAATTTCCGTAATCCCGGCAATCAACCACTAGACAGGAAGGCAGCCGCCAAAACACTAACTCCAAGATCTACCCGCCAGCGCCGTTAGAATTTTAAAATTTCCGCTTCTGTGACGTCATCACGCCTGCTTGCGCGTGCGCATCTCTTACGGGGTGCTGCTCGTCGCCGGAAATCTGCGTCGGTCGTTCCCTGCGGTCTTTCCGGGTACGTTACCGTCTCCGAGCACTACGAGATTGCCCGGTGAAATCGGCTCCGACGCCTGTTTATCTCTGAAGGCGCTTGCCCTTTAAGTTGTTGGGGAGCGGGGAGATTGCTCCAAGTTTCTTAGGAAATGCCTTGTCCGTACAGCAACATGGCCGTGCCCGTTAACTCTTAGAAAAGGAGACTTTTTTCATTTGACCTGAGAGGGGTGTCTTGACCACTATTTAGATGGGTGCCGTTTCATGATGCAAGTTTGCGAAGGCGACAAGCACTTTTCTGACATGGGAAGCGGGTGAGGTAGGAAACAGTGATTGCTGAGTTTGGGTGCAGTCATTTCCGAAGATCGCACTGGTGTGGCCGACGCTAAGGTTCGGCTCAGAATTTGCTTTGGATTTTACGATCCTGTAGTGTGGTGATGTCCTGTGAGAAGTTAGGACGAATCCAAGTGGTCAGGGGTAGGGTTAGTGAGAAGCAGATAAGTAGCAGAGAGAGGTGCAGTGAGCATAGTTAGTTATTAGTTAGCTTTGTTAAAATAGGACACTCCCGTTTCCCTGAGTTCCCTGGAACTCAGAGACACACACTGCCTAATATCTAGAGTGGTGGGGGTGGAAGATAGAGCTCAGAGCCAAAGTCGGGATACCTGGATCTTGTACCAATTGTGCTAACCTAGAGTTGTAATTTTGGGCACGCCATTCCTTCCATCTGAGTTTCACCCTTCCTATCTAAATCTCTAGCTCTCACTAGCCACTACAGGACCTCCTCACCACAAGTGGAGGTTCTGAAGGGAGGACCAATGCCGGAATTACTATCACCAATAGCATTTGAGCAATTGCTTTGTGTAAGGCACTGCACAGCTATTTATGTCGATCGTCTCATTAAATTCTCTAAACTGCCCTCTGAGATGTAATAAAAAATGATGAAATTGTGACTCAGTGGGATGAAATAGCTTGTTCATGGTCATAATGCTAAAACATGGAGTTATACTCTAAATGCTACTAGTATTAACTGTGCTTGTGTATTAGTCACTTATGTATTTCTTAGCCTGTCCCCCTCTTAAAGTGCCCCAATACACTAGATTTAGTAAGCAATATCCAGAACTGAAAACCGTCTTTTGAAAAAAGATTAGGAAGTTCTGAAAAACCTAGTTGAAGAGAGACTGTTCAGAACCAGTACAGATCTAGATTGTAACCTTGCAGTTTTGCTATGGCTTAGTGCTTCTGATGTGCTGTTAAAATTGCATTTTGCTTTGCTTTTACCCTTTTTTGCACTTCATTGATACCAAGGGTTAAATAGGGCAGTGATATTGGAGAATGGGTTGGTTTACTATGACAAATGTAGTTTGAAAAAAAAAAAAAAGCTGGCATGCTGATAACTCCTGGAAATTGTGACCTTGTGTGGGTTTATCTCATTAAAAAGGGTGGTTTCACATAGGCAGTACAGTATTATTTGCTTTCACAGGACACTTTTACTTATTAAGGAGTCAGTGACTTTCTGACTTGGAAGATGAACACTTAGTGGCTAGATCCAAGTGCCAAGCTGGGCCCAGGAAGATAGGAGGATCAAATCAAGATTCTAGAAATTAGATCAGGTTTTAACAATCTTTGGCCAAGTTGGCTGAAAGTTTTGAATTATCAACTCTGAAATTAAAAGTTTATATGAAAACATTGTAATTTTCCTTAGACCTGCTGCATATCATGAACAGTAAATTCTCTATGTGTGCATGTCAAGTTTATTTGCACATAAATCTACCCTTGTGTATGAAGTATATTTTTTTGAAATACAGGGCATTTAAGAACTTCATCTGGAAAGTTGGGTTTTGCATCTAATCTCTAATTCCTTGTGTTTTTTTTTTGTTTTGTTTTTTTTGTTTTTTTAAGAAAGAGAATGTCAGTGGTGCATCAGCTGTCACCAGGATGGTTACTGGATCATCTTTCTTTCATTAACAAGATAAACTATCAAGTTCACCAGCATCATGAGCCTTGTTGCAGCAAAAATGAACCCACTACTTCTGTCCACCTTGATTCTCTTCATGTGGATTCTAAATCTTCTTTTGGATCCTCTGCTAAATTGATTGCTTCTGACTCTACCACTAAGCCAGAGCAAGATGATAGGGGAAATTGTGAAGCGTTCATGCAAAAGTACATTTTTCGATCTGAACTGTTTGATATCAATAAACCTCATATAATTTCCGCTGTTCGCAAGGAATGCCAAAGTAATGAAAAGGAAGATATAATGAATGGTATTAAAAAGGAAACCTCCATTTCTACTCTTAGGAAGGTAGAAAGTTTTAAGAAATTTTTATATTTCTACAGAAAACACCAAAGAAATTTATTATTCCAATGTCTCAAATATCTTGTGATTTACTAAGCATTAAGAATAAAGCATAAGAAGGCTTTGATATATCCAGAGTAATTTTTAATTCTTTGCTAACAATTTGCTATAAAGAAATAGAGATTTATGATATTGTGATAAGTACCTGAAAGAGAATACTATTACTAATTCAGGCAAATAATAACACGCGACAGTAAAGGACTTTACACTTTACTAAGTATGGACATTATCTTTTAATGTTTAGGTGTTTTAGTATTTTATTAGGTATTTTAATGTTTAGGTATCGCATATTGGGTAAATTTCTCATTTTAATATGGAAAAATAGAGATGAGCATATGTAATGAATGTTATCTTGACAAACTTAACCTTATTTCTGATGTACTTTGGCAAATTGTAAAATCAGCTTAACCTTAAGTAAGTCCATTTATTTATTCAGCCAAGAAACATTTATTGTCAGTCTGTTAGGAGTTTGCCACCAAGTTAAACACAGGTTTCAGCAATAAAAAATAGAGTCCCTGCTCTGTATTGCACTGTCTTACATGTTTTTTGCTATGGAATTACTAGATACAGAACAGTGTTAATATATCTGATTTGTACCTCACCATCAAATCAGTCATAAACAACTATTAGGAATGTATTAAGAATACATTGGAAAATATTTTTGGTGACAATACGTGGATGATAGTTCCTCTTTTCAGAAATGAAGAAAGTAAATGTCAACTGAAGAAAGTGTCAACTGATGACACTGGATTGTTTATACACTTCCACAGTTTTCTTGTATTCCATGGATGTCAGTGCTACATTTTATCATTTCGTACTATTTCTTACTAATAGCGGATAAGGCTGAGGTGACCTTTTATCACCTATTAAATTTGTAGTAAAGGTAACAATTATTATTATTTGGGAAAGGTTTTGTAGCCTTTCTCTACCCTTGACACTGATTTTGACCTTGGTAGTCAATTATTACCTCTTAAAGACAGATGCACGATATGAAAAATGTTGTAAAGAAAAAAATTCAAAATCTTAATATTGTGATAGCAATATAATTTTCTCCCTGTAATTTACTCTTTAGAAGCGTAAAAGGTGTCTCACTTTCAATCAAGGTGAATTGGATGCTATGGAATACCATGAAAAGGTAAGATGGAAATGTTCATTGTTGACATTATAAGATTAATGTGAAGTAGTATAAATAAATAGTATAAATAAGGATATTCTTAAAAATCAAGCAATCATTTGATTAAGGTTAGAATTTAATAGTTGGAGTGGTTCATTGTTAATTTTATAGTAATGAACAATTTAAACTAGTTTTTATTAAAACTTCATGTACTCCTATTTTACATATTTAATGTAGGTAAACTTATGCTATATTGGTTTAAGTTTAGAAATTTTATAAGTTATAAAAGCCTGTTGTCCACAGCTAAAACAACTTGTTGAGTAGCAGAAGAAAGCACAGAGAATGTGAAGGATGTATTTCTGGAACTTTGAGGTAAATGAGATCTAGGAGCTAAAGAAATGAGAGAAAATAGAGGGTACACAAGCTTAACTCTCTAAGGAACACCTTTGATATGGGAAGTGGTGTTGAAATTTGGCTTAGAGACCTGATAGTAAGTTTTGGACATGTTGAGTTAATATGATGGAAAAACAATAGATTTTTTCCTGTCTTTTTTTGTGGTAAAATATACATAACAAAATTTATCGCTTTAATCTTTTTGAGGTATATAATTTAGCATTAATTACATTCACACTATGTGCCATCATCACCACTATCCATCTCCAGAACTTTTTTATTATTCCAAATAGAATCTGTACCCATCACATAATAACTTCCCATTCCCCACTCTCCCTAGCCCTTGACAACCTCTATTCTATTCTCTGGTTTTATGAATTTGCCTATTTTAGGTGTTACATATAAGTGCAGCTATACATTATTTATCTTTTTGGAGCTATATGATTTATTTCACTTAGTATAATGTTTACAAGGCTTATCTGTGTTACAGCATGTATCAGAATTTCATTCCTTTTTAAGGTTGAATAATATTTTATTGTGTGTATATACCACATTTATTTATCCATTGATTTGTTCTTTTGGGTTGTTTCTACTTTTAGTCATTGTGAATAATACTGTGAATGAATATTGGTGTACAATATATATTTGAGTCCCTGCTTTCAATTCTTTTGGGTACAAATTCTTTCTGGGTACCCAGAAGTAGAATTGCTGGATCATATAGTAATTTTATGTTTAACTGTTTGAAGAACTGCCAAACTGCTTCCACAGCAGCTGCACCATCTTACATTCCCACCAGCAGTGCACAAAGGTTCCAAGTTTTGCACATCTTCACCAACACTTGCTGTTTTCTTTTTAACACTAGCCACCCTAATGGGTGTGGAGTGGTAGCTCATTATGGTTTTCATTAATACATTGGATTTTAAATGTGTTGATGACAGCTAAATATACAAATGCTAAATTCTTTATTACCAAAAGTCTACTGTGTTTTGTTAATTTTGAAAATACACTTATTGCCTGGAAATGCAACTTGAAAGATTTAACTGCAGAAATATGCAAATATTCAGGGTCTG